AAAAAGAAATCTTAAAAGTTCTGCCAGGTGTGGCGTGGCATGGAGTGGTGCATGCCTTAAGTCCCAGTGTCAAAGGTGGGCAGATCTCTGAGTTCGAGGCCAGCCTGGTCAACAATGTGGGTTCCAGGCCAACGAGGGCTACAGGGAGACCCTAAAAAAAAAAAAAAAAAAAAGACCAAAAGAAAAGTAAAAATAGGGCCAGGTGCCGTGGTGCACACCTTCCATCCCAACACTCGGGAGGCAGAGGCAGGCATCTCTGAAGCTCCAGCCTAGCCTGGTTGTATAGTGAGATCCAGGACAGCCAAGACTACACAGTGAGACCCTATCTCGAAAGAAAGAAAAAAAAAAAAAAAACAGTAAAAAGAAATAGATTGGTTTGGAGTATAACTCAGTGGTAGAGCTCACCCAGCATGTGCAAGGCACTGGATTTGATCCCAGGTACCAAGCACATACACACACACACACACACACACACACACACACACACACACAGATCCTTCCCTTAGATCTGTTAAAATATTGTCTCTCTGGTCTGTGTTCCAGCATTTCAGAGCCCCAGGCCAGATGACCTATCTTCCTTCCAGCTCTGCCTTCCCGTTGGTGAGATGTGCAGGTGTTGGGCAGCAGGGCTGGTAGGACGGACCTCTGTTCAATGGGGCTGGGAGGAGAATTTAGTTCCTCTTGTGCTGCTGTCTTGGCAGGGACTTACGGTTAATTGAAGTCACTGAAACCATTTGCAAGAGGCTCCTGGACTACAGCCTGCACAAGGAGAGGACCGGCAGCAACCGGTTTGCCAAGGTTGGCTTTGCACTTGTGCCTTATCCCCTCTAGGGCCAGGCCAACATGAATCTAAGTGTGTCTGCTGTTGTGTGTGTGATTGGCAGGTCATGCCTGGGGGACACCCTCCTTGCCTCTTTCCAGTCTTGGACAGCTGTTCGCATCCCCCCCATGTTGACTCTGCAGTGTTATTAGTTGTATTTATAATGGCCTGCACCTTTCCCCCCAGGGTCCATCACAATGTCAGGCACAGGCAGAAATGCTCCATGCTGGCAACTCCCATGGGAACCAAAAAAACACTTGAGCAAAGAGGGCTCAGCACAGTTTAGAATGTGTAGAACTGGATGTGTGAGGGAAGCATCAGAAGCCAGATGTGATAGCCCAAGCCTCTAGTCCCAGCACCTACCTCCCCAGATGAAGGCAAGAGGATCAGGAGTTCAAGGTTAGCCTCAGTTGCATAGTGAGTTTGGGGTCAGCCTGGGCTTAGTGAACCTTATTTCAAAAACCAATGAAAAGTAGACTTGGGATGGTTATTGCTGGTTCTTCCTGTGAGTCTATCTAGAGTCACCTACATAGACCCTTGCTAGAGTGGCTGTGTTTCAGATAGTACTCTCACTGTCTATCCCTGAAGAAGGAGCTCCTTATAGTAGGCTCTGTGTGTCTGTCTTTTCTGCCTCCCGTGCACATTTTCCCCCTAAGTTCCCTTCTAGCAAAGGACGTCAACCATAAACTCCTGGAACCCTTAAGGGCTTCGAGTAGAAGTCTTAAGTTCATATTTAAAACCTAAATGAGGCCAGCTGGGGCTACAGGGAGACCCTGTCTCAAAAAGACTAAAAAAAAAAAAAATCTAAATGAGGGGCTGGAGAGATGAGGGGTTAAGGCAGCAGGAAAGAATGGCAGCTACTTATGAGCTAAAGGAAACTGGTCTTCAGGGTTTATTACCAAGTTAAAATGACAAGGTGCAGAATTGAGTGATATACCACTGCTTATGTAAACAGCAGGGGCAAAGCAAGGATTTGATTTTTCTGCTTTGTTTTTCATGATACTGGGGATCAAACCCAGGGCTTCATGGATGCCAGGCAAGTGCTGTCACCAAGCTTCACCCCAACCCCAGCATGTTTGTGCATCTGACTTATCTCTAGGAAGAACCTGGAAAAGGGAGCAGATCTGGGTGTAGAGCAGGTTACTTCAACTTTTCCAGTAACAACTTTTTACCCAAGAAATTTTATGTCACCCCAGGTATACAGGCACATAAAGCATACAGATCAAACACTTGGTAGGAAGAAATCACAAATGTATTTAAAACAGTTCTTGGGCTTGGGAGATGGTGCAGTGTAAAGTGTTTGCTGTAGCACAGGAACCTGAGTTCTTAAACTTTACAGGGTCCCTAGAGCCATGTAAAGCCAGATGCAGTCATGTGTGCCTATAATCCCAGCCTTCTTGCCCAGGGGTGGGGGGGAGCGTCCTCAGACATTCATGGGCCAGCCACCCTGGAGCATGCAGTGGCAAATAAGAGACCCTGCCTCACACAAGGTTGATGATGAGCACTAGCACCTAAGGCTATCCTCCATCTCCACATGCACACTGTGGCACATGGGCACATGCACACCCACACAGACACACGCTCAAAGATTAAAGCTAAATGTTGGCTGAATAGTTGATATTGCAGGGCATAGTGTCGCCAGTGTGTTTTAGAATTGATTAATACTTTGATTTTATAGTCACAAATGCTGAGAAGCTCCACTTGCCAGAAACCCATTATACAAAATGGCAGAAGTATTATTATTATTATTATTATTATTATTATTATTATTATTGGCATTTTTGAGTCAGGGCCTCCCTGTAGCCCCAGCTAGCCAGGAACTCGCTATGTAGACCAGGCTAGCCTCGAACTCACAGAGATCCGCCTGCCTCTGCATCCTGATTGCTGAGACTAAAGGCGTGTGCCACCATGCTTGGCTGAATTATTATTATTTTTAAAATGAAACTCAAGTCAGCAACTGAAACAGCGACCTTTAAAAAAAATGTATTTATTTTTGAGATAGGGTCTTATAGTATACCCTTGGTTGGCTTGGAACTCATATAGACCAGGCTGGCATGGAACTTACAGGGCCCCACCTGCCTCTGCCTCCTGAGTGCTGGGATTAAAGATGCATGCTATCACACCCAGCCTCAAACAGCATTAAAAAAAAAATCCTATGATAATGCAATTAAAAGATAAATTTATTTGATGGTAGACTATTGGAAGTCTTTGTTTTCCATAACTAAACCATAAGAGAACTTTGTACCCTAGAGTAAAATCACTGTAATTCATAGCAAGCAATATAGTCTCAAATATAGTCTCATGTTTTTGTTTTGTTTTGCTGTTACTTAGATACTTGGTCTCACCGTGTAGCCCTGGCTGACCTAGACCTCATAGAGGATTGCCTGTTTCTGCCTCCTAAGTGCTGGGTTTAAAGGTGAGCTCCACCATGCCTAGCATGAGCCCAAGTGTTTAAGCATTGTCTTTGGTATTATGGCATTCTGGTGTATACAGCGCAAAGCCCCCATGTTGTGTGTTTGGAACCAGGCTGCAGTGAAGTCACACGATACAGCATGAGTGGGTGAGCGCCACCAGAAACACCTCAGGTTCATTGGATTTGCCATTAGTTTTTGGTTGCTGCCATTCAGAAACCTTTTTTTTTTTTATTTTTGTCTCTCTCTTTTTTGAGACAGGGTCTCCCTGCAGCCCCAGATGTCCTGGAACTCACTAGATAGACCAGGCTGGCCTCAAACTCCCAGGGATTTGCCTGCCTTTGCCTCCCGAGTGCTGGGACTAAAGGCATGCGCCACCACCCCTGGCCAGAAACCTTTTACCATTATCAGGTTTTTCAGAGCCCCCACATTCAGTTGTCTGGGATTGTGACCCACAGTTTAAGAGGCTGGAGTCTAAAAGATGAGGGTATCCAGTGTGCAGGGAAGGAACTAAGGCCATCTATTTCCTGGAAAAGGAGTCTAAGGTCAAAGGGCTGGAGGGCAACAGCAGATATTTTGGAACAGTTTCGGGGTGAGGGAGCAGGTCAGGGTGTGTGTAATCAGAAGTAGTGGAAGGCCAGCCTGAAAGAGGCCAGGTGTAGGGCAAGAAGCCTTAGATGTATTGACTTCCCTGACCCAGGTCCTCAGACACCAGAGAAGGGTGGGAGGTCTAGAAGATGGCTCTGCTTCCCATGTCTGATTGCCTCTTCCAGGGCATGTCAGAAACCTTTGAGACACTGCACAACCTAGTCCACAAAGGGGTCAAGGTGGTGATGGACATCCCGTACGAGTTGTGGAATGAGACCTCTGCTGAGGTTGCTGACCTCAAGAAGCAGGTATGAGCCTTCAGCTGGCTGTACCCCTTGGGTGGGTAAGGATGGTTCTGCTCTGAGGAAGGCCACCAGCTGCTGGTGACAAGTTACAGCCTCTTCCCTCTTGGGTCTCAGTTTCCTCAGGCGAATCCTCACCACCCGCCTGTCTCTCAGTGGGTCGAGGGGCAGCCAGGTGCCCTGGGAAAGTCCGGTGCTTGGGCTTTGCCAGTCCCTGGTGTTGTGCTTTACAGTGTGATGTGCTGGTGGAGGAGTTTGAGGAGGTGATTGAGGACTGGTACAGGAACCACCAGGAGGAGGACCTAACTGAATTCCTCTGCGCCAACCACGTGCTGAAGGGCAAGGACACCAGTGAGTGTGAGGGCGGGAGAAGGCAAGGCACAGGTCTTCTGTCATCTGCCATCTCTCAGGGGCAGTGGGTAGGGGAGGATGGAAGAGTAGCGAGCATCTTGGGTACCCTGCCCTCAGGGAACTTGAGATGAGGTGAGGTGATGTAATGAGCCCAAGGTCAGCAGCAGGATAATGAAGCCTGGCGCTGCAGTGGGGCACCGCAGGGGGGCAGGCGGCATAGAGATGGTGGAAGGTACCGACCGCACTCACTCTTCCCAGAAGCTCTGTCAGTGTTGCTCTCCAGCAAGCTGGGCCTGAGGCCAGCTCTGTTGAGGCCTCTCTGCTCCTCCCCTCAGGTTGCCTGGCAGAGCGGTGGTCTGGCAAGAAGGGGGACACAGCTGCCCTGGGAGGGAAAAAGTCCAAGAAGAAGAGCAGCAGGGCCAAGGGCTCAGGCAGCAGCAGCAAGCAGAGGAAGGAGCTGGGGGGCCTGGAAGGAGATGCCAGCCCCGAGGAGGAAGAGGGTGTACAGAAGGCATCGCCACTCCCACACAGCCCCCCTGATGAGCTGTGAGCCCAGCTGCTCAGTGTCCTTGAACCAAGACCCCCGACCTCAGAGCTGAAGAGCTTGCAACATGGCCCCAGCAAAGACGGCCCTCCCAGCTTCAGCTCTCCTGCCTCAGCTGTACCCTCTTCCTGCCCTTGAGCAGCAGCAGTGAGAAGCAGGGGCTGGGGGTCCTGGAGGGAGACCTCACCAAGGACAGGAAGAGGAGGGTGTACAGAAGGCATCCTTTCCACACAGCAGCCCCTGATGAGCTCTGATTGCACCCCAGCCTTCCCGAAGTGAGACCCTTGACCTTGAAGCTGAAGATGCCAGGCCCGGCTGCGGCAGACAAGACCACGTCCCTCCCAGTGTCAGCTCTCCTGCCTCGCTGTGCCCTTTTCCCACCCAGGACAGACACACGCTACGGAAGGACTCGAGCAACCGTGGCAGCCCATACCAACCTTTTCCCTCCACCAAGCATTTCTCTTCTGACCCAGGCCTCAGGCAAGTCATGTTTCAGAACTTCGAGGACTCCAGTGTGAACTCACGAGCATGGTACCAGGGGCTGGGCACAAGAAACTGGACCCACTCCAGAGCCCTCAAGGAGGGCACCTCACCTCCTGCCCCCAGGAGAAGCAAGACTGCAGTCTCCACCATTCCTCGACTTTGTCCCCCTGAGGACACCTTGTGCTCTGCCCAGCCCTCCTCCCCAGGGCACACAGAGTAAAAGCCTTTTGGCCTTTTGGTTCTGACTCCCGAGTCCTCTTCAGCCCTCAGAGGTGCCCTGGAGCCCCTTGTTGCTTTTTCCTGCCTGTCTCCCTCCAGCCTTGGGGGCTGAGGAAGGCCAGGCTGTCAACACTTCATGAGAGGTTTAACACACCAACTGTTGGGAGGAGCAGGTGCCGGGAGTGCCCAGAGTTGTTTTAGGTTAAAGGTAGGCAGCCTGGGGTGAGATCCAGCACGGTGACTGACCGTGTCCCTCAGCGACCTTCACAGAGCAGCTGCCTGTTTTCTCCTAGGCCCTTTACACTCTTTCCGCAGTTCCTGCTGTGCACTGTGTCCTGGGCACCTGGCTGTCTTCCTTCCCTCCCTCTCTGCCCCCAAACCTTGCTATTTGTTGTGTAAAGTGTTTACTGGTCACCAGCAGCTCCCGCCATCCTATCGTTATCACATCTGGCCCTTCCTGTTCTTGAACCTTGTTCCCTGTTTGACCATTTTTGCTTTCTTTGCTCTTCGTAACTTGTACCTGCAGCCCAGAGGAGAGGTAACCCAGTTTCCCAACAACTCTGCGTACACCATGTTCTTCCAGGTAGGGAGGAACAGGAAGGCTGACCTGTAGGGGAAGGGGCTGTGAAACACACACACCTCCCAGTATGTCCTGAGAGCTGGGATGGGGTGTGGATCAGGACACTGTTGTTAGCATTGGTGTTGACAGTTGTATAGTGCACAAACCTTAAACTTTAGTATGGGTTATTGACCCCCTTTGAGGAAAGGAGAAAAGTTGGGCTCTAGTGGTGAACCCAAGGCCCTGTTAGTGAGTGGTTGAGTCGGGGAGCTGAGACTCCAAGTTCGTTGTCTTTCAGCTGTCCACAGTTACCAGGGCCCCTTCCTTCACACCAGGTACTGATAGTATAATTCATGTTGAACTGGGTGATTTCTAGACCTTGACCCACAGCCATTGAGACTCTTGAAAATATGAAGTCATAATCCGCTACTTGGAAGGCTGAAGCAAGAAGATTGCAAGTTCAAGTCCTGCCTGGGCTATAGAGCTAATTCAAGGCCATTCTGGGTAACTTAGACTGACTCACAAAAGGACTAGCAGTATATCTCAGTGTTATGTAAATGTAAAGTACCTGCCTAGCATAGGAGAGACCCTGTGTCCAATCAGTGCCACTGAAAAGAACAGGGAAAGTGGTGGGAGTAGCTGAGTGGTAGAGCACATACTTAGTACACAAGGCCCTCTTCACCCTCAGGACTACCAAAAGGGACAGGTTGCCCCTGAGAAGGTGCTTCCAGAATGGGTCTGCCAGGTGGCCATTGCCATAGAGACTCCACTTCCTTGGGCTTGGTCTGGATAGGGATCCCTAGGTCTAGTGTGAAGGCTCTGGCGTTGAAGCTCCTGGGTTAGGCCCCATTCCTCTAAGTTGGGACCCCAAATGTGGTGAGTGGAGCAAAATTGAAGCTTTTCCTTCTCTGGCTCTTGAGGCCTAAAACAGGCCCTTAGAGGATGTACTAGTTTGAACTAGCATCCACCTCCCCATCTCCCAAGACATGATCCAAGCCCTGTTAAGGGGCTGATGGATCATGAAATTCCAGTCTGGAATCAGGACTTGTCTTGGACTTGGTTCTGAGCCTAGGAGACAGGTGAGGAGAGGGCTAGGATCCAGGCTCAGGAATCTGTAGCCTCTGGACTATAGTTTTGGCCCTGTTTCTCCTGATCTGTCATTAACCCACAGCACATCAATGTATAGCTTACAGCTGGCCCCAGAGCATCATTGATTCTAAAAGTAGGACAGAGCAAAGCCCTATCAGCTTCCAGGGGTGTTGGCCTAGTGACCAATCCCAGGCTGGCCCTAGGCCTGAGGGCAAGGCTGCTGCACTTTGACCTGTGGGTCTTGCTGGGAACTGTTGCCTGCCTACAAGGACCTGGTGTTGCCTGCTCTGTAGCTTCTCCCAGCCCTCCCCAATAGGCTGACCTGGCCAGTCTAGAAAGGGCAGAGGCAGGATCTAGTTGCCCAAGCTGTTCTTGTCTTCCCATTTTTTAAAATTATTATTTTTATTTTATATGTATGTGTTTATTCCCTGCATGTAGGTAGGTGCACCTGTGTTGTGCAATGCCTGCAGAGGACAGAAGAGGCTGTTGGATTCCCTGGAACTGGAGTTATGGATAGTTGTTAGCTGCCATATGGGTGCTGGGATTCAAACCCGGGTCTTCTGCAAGAACAGCCAGTGCTCTTAACTGCTGAGCCATATCTCTAGCCCCCTGTTTGTTTTTTTACAGAAGCCTTAGAATTTGAGAGTTGCCATCCACTGACACCATCCCATCCTAGCAGAGGCAACTGGAGCTGGACTTAACCTTGGTTCCTCTACCAAAAACCCTATTAGAATAGGATTTTCTGAGCTCATGAGAGAATGAGAGTGTCCTAAAGTGCTTGTTTAGGTGTCTGTGTCTCCGTGCATGTTCCATGCTTAATATTTCATGGTTTCATCTGTATATGTGTGTCTGATGACACAGAACTCTAGCACAGGCTGGCCTGGTGTGTGTGTGTGTGTGTGTGTGTGTGTGTGTGTGTGTGTGTGTGTGTGTGTTTAACACAGAACTCTAGCATGGGCTGGCCTGGAACTCACTAGCCAAGGCTGGCCCTGAACTTGGGGCAATCTTTCTGCCTCAGCCTCCCAAGTGTGTTACAGGCATATGCTATCATGTCCTGTTCTCATGATCCCGAAGATGAAGCCATAGGGAACCTGCTCCACCAAGAGAAACCCTAAGAAGGGGCAGGACTTGGGTCTTGTCCTCAGAAATGATTTGCCAGAACCACAGGAGCTGATGGGCTAAAGGTCAGGTTCTTCCAATTCAGACCCTCAGGGAGCTAAGGATATATGTCAGAGACAGAACACTGCCTAGCATGTGCAAGACCCTGGATTTGGTGCTCAGCAGTTGGGGGTCGAGGGAGCTGAGGCAGGAGGGTTGCATGAGTGTGAGGTCAACCAGAGACACATGACAAGACCCTGTCTCAAAACAAACATGGGTCTGAAAAGATGGCTCAGCGGTTAAAAACATTGGTTGTTCCTGCAGAAGACCTAGATTTGAACACAGCACCTACATGGTGGCTAACAACTGTCCATATCTCCAGTTCTGGGGACCAGACACCCTGTTCTGGCCTCCACGAGCATTGCATGACATGGGTGCACTTACATATATATATATATATATATCTGTAATACATACACATGAAATAACATTAAAAATTTTTTAAGTCAAAAAAAAAGTACATGACTGGCAGCCCCTTGGAGTCATCATCCAGATGTTCATAGTTCTCAGGCACAAATACATTTACTTACTGTGGAGCTGTGGATCAAACAGGTGAATGCTCTTACCTGAGTGAGCTCCAGCCCTACTGGTCATGCTAGAGGTGACATTTCTTCCTTTCTTTCTTTCTTTTTTTTTTTTTTTTTTGGTCTTTTTGAGACAGGGTCTCCCTGTAGCCTCAGCTGTCCTGGAACTCACTATGTAGACCAGGCTGGCCTTGAACTCACAGAGATCCGCCTGCCTCTGCCTCCCAAGTGCTGGGACTACAGGCGTGCGCCACCACGCCCAGCTAAGAATGTATCTTTTATCTTGGTATGGTACTGTATAATCACAGCATTTAGGAGGCAGAGGCAAGATTGCTGAGCACAGCCTGGTTCACATAGTTCCAGTCCAGCCAGGACTACAGAGTAAGATCTTGCCTCTGAAAAATTAAGTTTTAAAGGGAAAAAGAAAAAATGTATTTAAAATTTTTTAACTGGTTGTATGTGTGTACACACCTGTACCCCAGCATGGAGGCCTTGAGTTCCAGGCCAGCCTGGGCTACATAATGAGATCAGAAAGAAAAAAAAATCATCTTCTGGGTTAGCAGGGGATAGCTCGATGGAATAGCACTTGTCTAGCATGTAGGAGACTGAGACACTGGGCTCAACCTTGTAACCTTACTAAACCCTATAACATTACTAAAGTCTTTCCCTCAAAACTCTAATTTTATTGGGAAAACAGACCCCAATCTCATAGAAGCGGTTACATATTAGGCCTTGGTGAAAAGACGGAATATACAAATCTCTACTTAATAAGTGAGACAGTAATTCTTGTTTGTTTTGAAGCAGGATCTCACTCTATAGTTTAGGCTAGCCTGGAACTTACCATGTAGCCCAGGCTACCTTCACAGTCCTGTCTCAGCCTACAAAACTGCTGGAATTCCAAGACTGAGCCACCGTGTTCAGCTTAATTCCTTTTTTTTTCCTTTCTATTTGCTTATTAGATGCATTTTCACTGTTGCCCAGACTGAGATCATGTGATTCCCTGCCTCAGCCTCTTAAGCAGCTGAGACTACAGGAGTATGCAGGGCGCCCATCAAGGATACAGTCATTTTAAGCCAAGTATGGTGTCCTGTAACCCTAGCACTCAGAGGCTGAGGTAGGAGGATTGCTTTGTCTTCAAGGCCAGACTACACAGAACTAGTCCAGTCAAGGTTCCATAACAAGATCCTGCCTCAAAAATCCAAAATAGTCCAGCAAGATGCCTCAGCAGCTAAAAGGGCTGGTAGAAGGAGAGAACTCCTCTAGGTTGCCCTCTGACCTCAGTGTGCACACCATGGCAAACAATGTTAAAAAAAATAATAATAATCAAGGGCTGGGCGTGGTGGCGCATGCCTTTAATCCCAGCACTTGGGAGGTAGAGGCAGGCAGTTCGAGGCCAGCCTGGTCTACATAGCAAGTTCCAGGTTAGCTGGGGCTACAAGGAGACCCTGTCTCAAAAAGACCAAAAAATGAATAAATAAGTGGAAAAATGATAATTTAAGAGGAGGTTTGAAAAAAGTCTAGGGTTGATGAATTTACCCCAAAGATAGTCTGATAAATGATGCTGGATTTACTTGAAATTCTCCAATACAATTTCTGTGTCTCTGTCTGTATCTTCTGTCTTTCCCCACAGTCTCATGTTGCCCAGTTGGCCTCAAGCTCTATGTAGCCTAGGATAACCTTGAACTCCTGACCTTCCCTCAGTCTTCCAAGTACTGGAATTACAGGCATGTACCACTCCACCAGCCTTAGTGGCTTTCTAAGCCTATTGTCTGACAAGTAAATCCGATGCTGTCATCTAGAGACAGACAACCCTGTCTGCAGGTGGGCTCTGCCATTGCCCTGGGATGACAGACTCAAATCTTTGAAACTTCGCACATTGAACCTTCCCTGTCTGACTGGTCTCTTCAGTGAGGTGTTCTTTCTGTAAATAATCAGATACCTGCTGCGCTGGATGTGCTTTGGAGACCAGGCTGGCCTCGAACTCATAGAGATCCCCCTGCCTCTGCCTCCCAAGTGCTGGGATTAAAGGCATGTGCCACCAGGTTTCTTCCCTTTCTTGGGAGGGGTGGAGTGGGCGATCTCATTGCGCCGTCTTCAATTGGCCCCTTCTGGCTCATCTTGGCCACTCTGGCAGAGGATTGGCAAGGGTCAGACCGTCTCACCTTGCCATAAAATTGCATAGCATGCAAAGAGGGCCAGTTCCAGAAGTGCTAGGCTGAGCCATCCGGGCTGCGGGGGCAGATGGGCTCCGAGCCCGATCCCAGTTAGGGGCGTGTCCTCTCACTCACCTGCCATTGGCCGGGTGCAGCCGCCCGAGCTATTAAGTGCTGAGCGCGTGGCGGTGGAGCGAGGCCCAGGGCAGGATGGTGGACAGCGTGTACCGGACCCGCTCCCTGGGAGTGGCGGCAGAAGGGATCCCGGACCAGTACGCAGACGGGGAGGCGGCTCGCGTGTGGCAGCTCTACATCGGGGACACCCGCAGCCGCACCGCCGAGTACAAGACGTGGCTCCTGGGGCTGCTTCGCCAGCACGGCTGCCAGCGGGTGCTGGATGTGGCCTGCGGCACCGGGTGAGTCCGAGCAGGACCGGGGAGACTGGCATATCCTGGATCGCTGGACCACAGAACCAGAGACGGCCAGTCCGGGCAGCCTTTGCAGGCCGGAGCCTGGTGGGCAGCACCGGAGGGTCCGGAACCCCTGCCCGCCGCCATAGAACGGGCACAGCGAGTGCATCCGCCAAACTCTAGTGGGGAAGGGACCCAGGAGACTCAGGACCAAGGCGAGGGCGTGGGCTGAGAAGTGAAAGTTCATCGGGCAGAGCAAAACCCAGGCTTTGTGGCCAGGCTGGATCTTTGGCTCCAACTTTATTCTTCCCGATGGCCTTGGGCAGTGTGAACAGGACATTTGTTCCACGTTTGCACATGCCAAACGCTGTGCCAGGCATCTTGGAACATGTTTTTTCAAAGGTTTACAAAATGCCATGAGGGAAGTGGTGATATTCTCCACTTAGTACTAAAGCAGAACCAGAGATGTAAAAGCCCATCCCTATCAGGTGGACAGGGTTTACCAGGTCGGTTGGTGTCTGCCCCACACTCCAACTCAGCACACTGTGCACACTACCTCTCCTGCATGACTTACTTAGAAGTCTGAGAGTCTCATTTTGCCCAGCTCTCAAATGCACATTGGTAGAATGCCTGGGTCTGCTTATTAAAAAAAAAAAAAAAAAAAAAAAAGGGGGGAAAATGGCTACGTTTGTAAAAACATTTTTTTTTCTTTTGAGAGGACCCCATTTTTTAAAAAAAAAAAAAAAAAAAAAAAAAGAGTGGAGAATGGCTCAGCTTGTTAAAAGCATTGTATTGCTCTTGCAGAGGACCCCAGTTCAGTTCCAGCACCACTTGTATCTCCAGTTTCAAAGAATCTGACACCCTCTTCTGGTCTTAAAGGGCACTGCACTCAGGTGCACAAACCGACACACAGAGACATATATGCATATTATGTTTCTTAAATGTTCTGCCAGACATAGTGGCAAAGGCCTTTAATCCTAACACTTGGGAAGCAGAGGCAGGCTGATCTCCGAGAGTTCCAGTCCAGCCAGGGCTCCATAATGAGACCCTGTCTCAAAATGAGAGCGAAAGTGAGAGTGAAAGAGAGAGAGAGAAATATAGTTGCTACCTGATGATAAGGAACATACTCATGGGGTCATCTAAAGTCAGTGGAGATAGCCTGAGAGGAGACGAATGGACTCTGAAATGCTGGGGCAGAAATGCCATACACAGGGCCTCCTCTTTGGGTTCCCAGGCTGTCTGACTGGTCCTTTCAGCCCCTCATCTCTGACTCTGTCCAGGGTGGACTCCATCATGCTGGTGGAAGAGGGCTTCAGTGTGACAAGCGTGGATGCCAGTGACAAGATGCTGAAGTACGCACTTAAAGAGCGCTGGAACCGGCGGCAAGAGCCTGCCTTCGACAAGTGGGGTATGGATGTCCCCCAAACCCCCCTGGCCATGCACTCCCAGTATCACTCCCAGCGATGCTTCTTTCTGTCCTGAACTCTCCCTTGTAGCCTAGACTACCTTATTTTCCTGAGGATATAGTGAAGTGACTGTCATCTTCCTGGAAGGTAGGCTTAGGCAGTAGAATGAGGTAGCAGATGTCAAGCGCTGTGGTTGTGTTTTGGTGCTGGGGACTGAACGCAAGTCCTTGGGCATGCTAAGCAAGTGATCTGAGCTGCACTGCCAGTGTTTTGTTGTTACTTTTGTTTTCTTGCTATGTTGCTTGCTCAGACTAGTCTCAGCTCAAAAGATCCTCTGCCTCAGCCTCTTGGCCAGCTGTGGCTAGAGATGCATACCCCTACCCTGGACTCTGAAAAGCTGGTTTTAACTGTTTCTAGTATCCTGTCTCTCCTAAACAATAGCCCTCAAGTGGAGAGCTGTCTCCTCCCAGCTCATTCTTTGTGCCCATAAAGGTCTTCTCTGTCTAACTGGACAGGGAGTCCCATGTATCTTGAAGACTGAGTCAGGACTGCATTTGGTGGAGGGGCTGCATTTGGTGGAGGGGCTGCTGCTAGTACTGTGATGCCACGGGTTCCTCTTCTCTGGCCTCCAGTCATTGAAGAAGCCAACTGGATGACTCTGGACAAAGACGTGCCCCCGCCGGCAGGAGGTGGCTTTGATGCTGTCATCTGCCTTGGCAACAGTTTTGCCCACTTGCCAGACTGTAAAGGTGAGTGTGGTCCTGGGTATGGCTCTTGCCTTGACTCCATCCCGTCCACAGACCCCTGGCTGCCAGCTCTGACAAGGCAGAGCTGCCTTCTGTGACTCTCTGCCCTAACACAGGCACAAGGGGAGATGGGAGGGAAAATGGTACTTGGAGCTGAAACAGATGGCATCTCTGCCCCTGCCTGGCACTCAGGTGACCAGAGTGAGCACCGTCTGGCACTAAAGAACATCGCAAGCATGGTGAGGCCTGGGGGCCTGCTGGTCATCGATCATCGAAACTACGACCACATCCTCAGCACGGGCTGCGCACCGCCAGGGAAAAACATCTACTACAAGGTAGCAGGGGAAGTGAGAGCCTGGGTCCAGAGGCCCCATGATGAAGGTTATGGAGGCTAATGCAGCCCATGTCACCACCTACAGAGTGACCTGACCAAGGACATCACGACGTCAGTGCTGACAGTGAACAATAAAGCCCACATGGTAACCCTGGACTACACAGTGCATGTGCCAGCTGCTGACCGAGGTGGCTCTCCTGGCTTCAGGTATCACTTGGTTTGGCAGGAGTGAGGTGGAAAGTGGGGGTGGGGGAACCGAGGCCAGTGGCCCTCATGGTTGGCTGGGGCCCTGTTGCAGCAAGTTCCGGCTCTCTTACTACCCACACTGTTTGGCGTCCTTCACGGAGTTGCTCCGAGCGGCCTTTGGGGGCAAGTGTCAGCACAGCGTCCTGGGTGACTTCAAGCCTTACAAGCCAGGCCAGGCCTACATTCCCTGCTATTTCATCCATGTGCTCAAGAGGGCAGAGTGAATGTGGCCTTGGCTCCTACAACACTCTGCTGAAGCAACGGCAGGCTCTGGGGTGTGGGAACTTCATGGCCTCACCCCAGGCCCCACCCAGTGCAGATCCTGCGGCTAGGTGCAGTGATGTGGGGTCAGGCCAACAGGGAATAACAATATAGTCTGTGCCTTTTTCAAGTTCCCTGTGCCTTGTGTTTCTGTCAGAAGTAACATGCTTGCATGGTATTCCGACCCTGCTCTCCCCTCTCCTCCCCTCCCCCTTACTTCTCCCTCAACCTTGTCCTTCACCACGCAACCTCACACCACCAGCAGGTGGTAGCATAGGCTTTATTTTCTGTCACAGAACTGGTACCTCAAGGCCCACAAGCTCGAGTAAATAGGCCTCAGTCTTAAAGCCAGCTAGGAGCTCCCACTAGGGCTCACAAGGCCACTCTGCACCCAAGGGCAGGAGGGAGGCAGCCTTCAGGTGAGGTGACAGCAGTCTTTCCTCTCACGTCTCTGAGGGGCCATCAGGGAAACTTCAGTGACGTGGGCAGGTGCTGCTGGCAGGCAGCTCCTAGCAGGAGGCAAACTTGCGCTGGATGTGCTTGTAGCGGAGCAGCTCCTGCTCGCTGACTGAGGGCTGCAGGCGGGCAGCAGCCTGTAGCAGGTCCTCCATGGTGAGCAGCAGTGCTGAGTTCCCCAGCTCCCGCCCTGAGGAGTAGTAAGGAGAGTAAGGCCAGAGTCCCCACCCTAGCCAGATGTTCCTCTACAATCTAGGACCAGGCCTGTCTCCCACTAGCTTTTTGGTTGCCTTTCAGCGGCTAGCAAGTGGCTCACCTTCCTCTAGGTCTCGAACCCTGCGTTTGAGAGCAGTTGTCATGGCATCAGAACAGAGTGAATAGAGGTCCGCACCCGTCAACTGGGGTGGGCAGCAATCTAGCACATTCACCAGGCTCACCGAGGGCTCTAGCTTGAATCTGTTGTGGCCATAGGAGGAACGTTACAACTGGATTCAACTCTTACTTCAAAAACCACAGCTTATCCTGCAGGTGCATGCATGCCCCTAGGCATCCCGAGGCCCAAGCCCCTTTGGGTGGCTTCCTTTGACAGGGCATACTTGCGTGTGATGGCACTTAGAACACGAAGCTGGGAGGCCCGGTCCTCGCTTGCCCCCACAAACACCAGCTTGTCGAATCTTTAGGGAGACAGGCAGGCAAAAGTGTCAGGGATCCCAGCCATGAGAGGTAAAGGAGGTAAAAACAGTCGAGAGGCAAGCCCACAGGGGAGGCCAGCAGCCATCCACAGGGCCTGGTGGACACAAGAGGTCCAGGGTGCCCACCTGCCAGGCCGCAGAAGGGCAGGATCCAGGAGATCTGGTCTGTTGGTGGCTCCAATCACAAATACATCCTGAGTGCTGTGAAGCCCATCCAGCTCAGCCAGGAGCTGAGACACCACTCTGCAGGGGCAGGAACAGAGGCCAGAGAGTCCCTGGTTGTGCCCTCGGACTCTGCCAGTGCCTCTCGTCAAAAGTCAAAGGCTGATTCAGCAAGGTGCCCTGCTCAACTCTGCCCTATGTCCCCCTCCACACAGTCTCTCCTCTCCAAGTTCCACACCCAACTCCCTTTTAGCTTCCATTCTACGACCTCAGAACCAAAAAGTAGGAACTTCTATCTTGGGAGCTCTCGTCTGAAGACTGGTATGATTAGTCTCGAATCCCTCCCACCTGGGACCCCAGACTGTTCCTATTCAGACCCCTCACCTGTCCATCACGCCTCCAGAATCTCCACTTCGCCCCCGGCTTGGAGCCAAGGAATCTAGTTCATCAAAGAAGATGATGCATGGAGCAGCGGCCCTGGCCCTACCAAACACTGAAGAGAGAGAGGCTCACAGGAGAGGGGCGTCAGGGGGCTGAAGTCGGGGAGAGAGGAGGGCCTGGGAGAGTTCAGCCCAGGCACTCAGCCTAGCTGGGCTTGTTTGTGGGAAGGATGGCTAAGAATGACCTTGAGTGGCAGCTGAGGGAAGAGGGTGACACAAGGACCACTGGGGTTGGGGATGCCCTGAAGCCCTGCCTCTCCTTGCTCACTTACCTTCCCGAACATTCTCCTCACTTTGACCCACATACATGTTGATGAGCTCTGGCCCCTTCACACTGAGTAAGAGGATGAGAGAGTGAGACCCATCAGATGTGTGCAAAGTTTTCTCAGGCAGCCCCTTCTACCCAGGAGCCGGCTGCAGCCCCGCCCACCTTTCCTTCTAGACCCTTCCCACCTGAGGAAGGTAAGGCTGCACTCAGTGGCTACTGCCTTGGCTAGGAGAGTCTTGCCAGTGCCTGGGGGCCCGTGGAGCAGAAGGCCTGAGCGTCTCAGGCCCAGACTCAGCAGTTCAGGATGCTCCAGAGGGAGCTGGATGGTCTCCAGAATTGCCTTCTTCACCTCCTGCAGCCCACCTACATCATGCCAAGACACTGAAGGGATCTAGGAGATAAGACGCAGAGTGGTAGTTAGGAAGGAGACTGGAGAAGAGCCCTTGCCCCACCTCCAAGGACCTGGAATCCCACCCTGGGTGCGCCCATGGCCTGGGAGTGAGCTGACTGCAGTTGATCTAGTGCATGCCCGAAGTCCTCAGCCAGTAGGGGAAAGCCAGCAGCACACAGCTCCCCCTCATCCTCCTCGCTCAAGCCACCTGCCAAGCTACAAAGAGAAATGTGGGGCCAGGCATGGTAGTTTACTCCTGAACTTCCAGCTCCTAGGAGGTGGAGGCAGGATTGCTAAGAGTTCTAGGACTATAGTGTGTCTAGGCTATAGTGTGTCTCTGTCCAACCTCCACCCCCACCCCACACAGAGCGAGGGTGAGAGAATCTTCTCTCCTAGAGCTCTGTTCCCTTCTCTCTGCCTCACCAGCCACTGTTTGCCCTGTTCCCAGTTCCCCTTACCCTGAGTTTTTGATCCTGGTGCAGGCTGCCCGGCTGGTGTGGGTCAGAAGGGCATAGAGGTCCCCTACCACAAAGCCCTAGGAATCGCACAAAAGGACAATGAGCAGGGCCCAGCAGGCAGTGGGGTCTGGACACCACCTGGCAAAGAGGCCTTGATGGGCGGCAGGATCAAAGTCCCAGGTATGACAAAGGCCCTGTGGTCTCCCAGGGAGGCATGGGACTTGCATTGATGCTCACCGCACAGCGTCGTGCCAGCTGTAGCAGGTTCACCTCCTGGCCCAGGGGAAGGTGGGCAGTAAGGGCCTGCAGAACACTGAGCCGCTGGCCCTCTGACAGCACTGGCACCTCCAGTTCATGAGGAAATGCTGTCTGCACATCGGTAGGCAGGTCCTGGACCCGGCTTGTGGTGGCCACAACCATCAGGGGAGGGCAGCTGCAGACAGGGAAGTGGGCATTGAGTGTTAGAATATGGCTGTCAGTTCCTGAAGCTGCTACACAGAAGGGCTGGGGGTGGATGCTGGGATAGGATAGGGAGATGAATGCCACACAGTTCCTAGATGGTGTATGATAATACCATGAGGGGGGACCTGTGCTTCACACAGGGAACTCACTGAGGACAGAGGCTGGCTTCAACCTAGTTCCCCCCAAAATACTAGACTACATTCTTCTCCCTCTGGAGACTGACCAGCCCAGCACCATCAAATGACAGGCAGATGTGATCTCTGAGAAACCAGTAGGGTGTGAAGAAGAGGAATGAAAGGCTGAAGAGAGTCTGGAGGGCAGGGCCCTGTTCTATAAATACCTGCTGAGGGAGTCCTCATCAAGGAGGAGGTGATGCAGTGTGGCCACTACACGGGCATCCTCACCCAGTCCATCACGGACCCAGCCCAGAAGGTCCACAGCTGTCAGTAACAGGACTGCAGGCCGGCAGCGGCGAGCCCGGGAGAAGGTAGCCTGCAGCTTTGTCTCTATGGCCCCACTACTGTCTGCACACAGGCTGGAACAGGGGACCTGGAGAGGAGATCTGATGGATCTCAAGCAGGGGGAGGCATGACCAGGGCAAGGAGGTGGGAGGAGTCAGACGACATGGGCCATCTTTTCTCTGAAGATCAGTATAGCAGGGAAGGTGCACTGGCCATCTTACCTCTCCCTCACCCTACCCACTTCCTGGACTATGCTTCAAAACTGTCTGCTTCTCGAAAGGGCCACTCAGTAGCTAAGCATCATGGGGCTGTATGTTCTGGGTCACTGGGCTGAGGTGTTAGGGCAGAAGATGGAGAGGAGAGGAAGAGGAGGAAAGGCAGAATCTGGGCTGCAGAAAAGTGTTGGGGTTCTCTCCCAAGGCCCTCACCTTCAGCAAATGGAGCCCCAGGCGACTACAGGCAGCAGTGACTGCTGTGGTCTTCCCACTGCCTGGGGGACCCCGGAGAAGCACACAGCTTGTTCCTGTCAGCAGGGCTCCTCTGCAATTACAGAACAGATACTGTTCCCTACTTTCTGTCCTTAAGAGTACCCTTGGACCTCAAAAGCATCCTATTTCTCCTCAAATACCCCACCCCTATCCCCACGCAGGCTGTCTCCACACTGAGGCCTTGTCTCTCACACCATTGATAGTGCTAGGGCAGAGGCCACTTGGAATATTCAGCAGCTGCAGACCATCCCCTTGGTCAGCTGTGCCTTCAGCCTAGTTGGTAGGTCTGGTACCAACCAGCCCAGTAGGCACTAGGGAGGGGTCTGAATTTACACTTGGGCTACTAGAGTGGAGAGCTGTGTGCTTCAGGATGGCTCATGGTAGTTTACTCCTGAAATCCCAGATCCTTGGGCTCCCCAAGCAGAACTAGTCTCAAGAGTTAGCTGTCTGGGAGTCTGCTTACAGAAAGGTGCTGGCCAGTGGCCTAGACCAACTGTGCTCCTCTTAACACCTTGTGGCTGTGGCCTCACTCACCCAGGCTGCAGGCGAGGCTTCAGGACAGCACAGAGCTCAGTCACCACAGACTCCAGGCCCGGAGGAGACAAGCTGTTCCAGGGAGTGGACCGTCCAGATGGCAGCATTGGAATGGCACTCAGGATAGAACCCACCTATCAAGGTAGGAAGAAGCTTAAGGCTCTAACGTGTTTCTGGCCCCTTCACCAGGTTTCTTCCTACCCTAGACCTTACCATGTATAAGGAGGTATGGGTGGTGTCAGCCAGGTAGGCCCTGGCTGGCCTGTCTGGGGCTTCCCCAACGGTTTTCTTCACTTTAAAAAATATCTCCCGCCACCTGCAGGAAAGAGGGCCAATGGACCCAAGATCAAAAGCCCATGTCTGCTGTCTTCAAGAACAGGAGCTTTCTCGGGGCTAAAGAGATGGCTCAGCGGTTAAGAGCAGCACTGACTGCTCTTACAGAGGACCCGGGTTCAATTCCCAGCACCCACATGGTGGCTATGAACCGTCCTTAACTCCAGTTCCAGGAGAATCCAAAGCTCTCTTCTGACCTCTGTGGCATTGTGGCATTGCACAGCACAGGTGCACTCACATACATGCAGGCAATACACTCATACACATAAAATAATAAAAATAATAAAATATTTAAAAAAGAACAGGAGTCTTTCTCGTAAAGCACAAAGTTAAGTATGGCACAAATGAGCATCCCGAGACATGCCAAGGGATATAAAGGTGGAGGAAAGGACACCACATAGTCTTTCTCATCTCCCCAGCTGGACCATACACATTTTGAAGGCAGTGTCTGCCCTATGACTAGCATCGGATAGCCTTGGGAGGGTGTTTCTCCAGGCACATGGCCTAGCCCAGTGCTCCAATGACAAGCCACTGTCTCTAAGCAAGGTGACATGTGACCATTTCTACTAGCTTCAGAAGTTTCTCCTATACATTCCCATCAGAGTCCCAGACCTCAAATGGAAGTATCTCTTCTTTATTATTCAATAATCCAACAAAACCTAACTGCAGTTAGATTCCTTAATGATGTCTAAAGCCACCTGTGGTGGCCCATGCCTTTAATCCCATGACTTGGGAGGCAGAGGCAGGCTGATCTCTGTGAGTTCAAGGCCAGCCTGGTCTACATAGTGAGTTCCAGTCCATTTGGGGATTACAGGAGGACCCTTTCTCAAAAAGACCAAAAAATAATAACATCTAATAACTAATTCCAGCACTATGGAGGCTGAGGCAGGAGGGTCATAAGATTGAGACCAGCTATGCAACAAAGTGAGATTAATGATTCTCTATTATAGAATTTTATGTGAAGCTTTAAAAACAAACATTTTTAATGTATTCTGAGTCCGCTCAGCAGATTAGTGACTGTCAGGATCTTGGACAGGGGAATTAGAGATGTTTGCATGATCTTGTAAATACAAAAAAACCTGTAGACTTGTACATTTGTTCTCTTTTGTTTTGAAATAAAAGTTATATTCAAGTAATCCTGATGTCTCTGTCTTCCAAGAAGGTGGAATGACAAGTGCATGCCAGAGCCAGCTGAATTGTGAACTTCAGAAGCGTATGAGGGCCAGGTGTGGTAGCACACCCGAATTCCAGCACCTGGGAGGCAGAAGCAGGCAGATCTATGAGATCAAGACCAGCCTGGTCTATACAGTGAGTTCCAAGTCAGCTGAGGCTACAGGGGGACCCTGTCCCAAAGAACAAAAACAGGTTGGAGAGATGGCTTAGCAGTTAAGAGTGCTGACTGTTCTTGCCGAAGACTTTAGTTCAAATCCCAGCACACACGGAGGCTAATAACCATCTGTAACTCCAATTCCAGGGGATTCGACGCCCTCTTCTGTCCTCTACAGGCATTGCATGACACAGATGCACTTATATACATGCAGGCATAACAATCATACACATAAAATAAAAAAAAAATAATGTTCAAAAAAAATAAAAACAACAAAAAACATACAAGTCTAGGGGTATAGCTTTGCAGTAAATACACTGCTTGGCATGAGTGAGGCTCAAAGTTCCATCCTCAGAATCATATACTCACATGGATCTTATTTTGTGAGTTATATCTCAATTTTAAAAATTAACATTGGGGGCCAGTGAGATGGCTTAGCAGGTAATGGCGCTTGCCACCAAGCCTGATTACCTGAAGTTTGACCTTGGAACCCATAAGGTGAAAGAAGAACCAACTCCTGCAAGTTGTCCTCTGACTTCCATGTGCGTGAGCACACATCCAATAAATCAATCATAAATAAATGCTATTTTTAATACTGTATTATTTTTATGTGTATGAGTATATTGTCTGCATGCATGTGGGTGCACCCATGTTGTGCAATGTCAGAGGAAGGTCAGAAGAAGGCATCAGATCCCCTGGAGCTGGAGTTACACACCATTGTTAGCTGCCATGAGGGTGCTGGGAATTGAACCTGGGTCCTCTGAGCTGTCAGTGCTCTTAATCTCTGAGCCCTCTCTACAGCTCTACAGCCCCAATAAATGTTTTTGTTGTTTTTTTTTTTAAAGTTAATATTTCTGCCGGGCGTGGTGGTGCACGCCTTTAATCCCAGCACTCGGGAGGCAGAGGCAGGCAGATCTCTGTGAGTTCAAGGCCGGCCTGGTCTACATAGTGAGTTCCAGGGCAGCTGGGGCTACAGGGAGACCCTGTCTCAAAAAAGACAAAAAAAAAAAATTAGTATTTCTTTGTCTTTGAGGGGAAAAGAGCATTTTCAGTTCCAGGGGATCTGACTCAGGCCCTAGTTCATCCTGATTCTGGTCCAGAGGGTCTAGGGTATAAGTTAGGCATCTGTAGTTTTCCAAAGTCTCCCCAGCAATTAGGAGGCAAACCAGTGCTGACTGGTCACTGGTTGGTTTCACAGCGAGTTAGGGTTATTCAGCCAACTAACTGGGACAGAGACAGGACCAGACAGCAGTAGGTAACCATTTCCCAGAGAGAGACGTGATGAACTATTCCCCCTTTTAATTCTCAGCAATGAGTCAGCAACAAAGCAGACTATATACCCTGAGCAATCTAAGACCTATCAGGGTACATGCAAACTCCTTTACCCACACTGTCACACAGTTGCCAAGCTGCTCCCTCTGGCAGAAAGAACAAATGGGAGAGCCTCAAAGTAGAGGCAGGTTTATGGTGTGAAATTCTTGTGTGGCTGGGGAGATGGCTCAGCTGGTAAGTAAGGTGCTTGCCACACAAGCATAAGGACTGGAGTTCAGACACTCAAAACCCACATAAAAGCTGGATGGGCACAGGGGCCCATCTACAATCCCAGGGTCAGATCAATCTATCATCTATCTATCTATCATTTATCTATCATCTATCATTTATCTATCATCTATCTATCTATCTATATCTATCATCTATCTATCTATCTATCTATCTATCTATCTATATCTATCATCTATCTAATCTATCAATCATCTATCTATCATCTATCTATCAAATCTATCATCTAATCTATCATCTATCATCTATCTATCTATCTATCTGTCTGTCTGTCTGTCTATCTATCATCTATCTAATCTATCAAATCTATCATCTAATCTATCATCTATCTATCCATCTGTCTATCATCTATCTATCATCTATCTATCATTTATCTATCATCTATCTATCTATCTATCTATCTATCATCTATCTATCTTCTATCTATCATCTATCTAATCTATCATCTATCATCTGTCTAATCTATCAATCTATCATCTATCTAATCTATCAAATCTATCATCTAATCTATCTATCATCTATCTATCATCTATCATCTAATCTATCAAATCTATCTATCATCTAATCTATCATCTATCATCTATCTATCTGTCTATCATCTATCTACCTATCTATCTATCTATCTATCTATCTATCTATCTATCTATCTATCTATCTATCTATCTATCTGTCTGTCATCTATCTAATGCTCAGGAAGCAAAGACAGGGAATCCCTGGAGCAAGGTGGCTAGCCAGAGTAGCCTTAAACAGGGAGCTCCAGGGTCAGGAAGCCCTGCCTCAACAGATAAGATGGAGAGTGACTGAGAACACATGAGGCCTGGAGAGACGGTTCAGTGGTTAAGCACACTGGCTTTTCTTGCAGAGGACCCCAGTTTCAGTTCCCAGCACCAACATGGCAGCTTACAACCATCTGTAGTTCCAGCTTCAAGGATCTGTCACCCTCTTCTGATCCCTGCAGGCACTGCATGATATGGGGGGGTACTTACATACATGAAAAGCAAGACATTCATACACATAAAAATAGGACCAGGTGTTGTGGCACATGCCTTTCATCTAGGTACACAGGCAATAGAGGCAGAGAGCTCTGTGAGTCAAGGCCAACCTGGTCTACATAAATAGCTCCAGACCAGCTATAGGGAGACCCTGTCTCAACCCCACCACCAAAATAAGAAGACACCTAATGTCAACCTTGGACCACAACACCCATGTACATACATACACATACATGTGTACCTATACACACATATGGACACACACACAAGCAGGCAGACACCCACGCACAGCACACACACATTAAATAAATAAAATTCTTCCAAGTGTTATGGTTGGCAGTGATTGTGACTAAAAACTAGAACATAGGGAAAAGTGTGTTAGGGATTAAACCTGCATGCTAGGTAAAATCTCAATGACTGAGCCATACTGTGGCCCAGAAAACAATCTTACCGCAACTATTTAAACAGTGATATTGGGTCTACAACCTAGTTCCTCAATCAAGCCAAGCATCTTGAATCAGTGCACCCTGGAGGCGCTGCACAGGAAGGTAATGAAGGATGGCACTGTGGAGAGTTAGGAAGAGACCACCTTCTTCTGTGGAGGGTGCGTGGACTATTTCAGGGAGCCGAAGGGCCACAGCTCTGGACCTAGCAGGGCATTGCTGAGGAACACTGGGCTGTGTTCCAGAAAGCCAGATGGATGGCAGAGGAGCTGGCTCCCATAAAGACTGGTTTGAAGAAGTAGAGCAGAGGGGAGGCTAAAAAAATTCCATCAATGGCAGGGAGTACAAGGTGCTCTCTCGGCTTCCTTTAGCAAGCCCAGTGTAGCCTAATATATTTATCTCTGTCCTTGGGATCTGCTCAGGGTGAAGAACTGTGCTCAGCACCTAGGAGGCAGGCAGGTTCCTAGAGGGTTGGGACAGAGCAAGTTTGGGTCTGCCTCAGGATGCCCTGCTGCCTGTTTCCTTTAAACATATAAAGTGTGGGGGCTGGAGAGACAGCTCAGCGGTTAAGAACACTGGCTGTTCTTGCAGAAGACCTGGGTTTGAATCCCAGCACCCACATGGCAGCTAACAACTGTCTGTAACTCCAGTTCCAGGGGATCCGACAGCCTCTTCTGTCCTCCTTGGGCATTGCATGACACGGCTGCACTTACCTACATGCAGGCAATACACGCATACATATAAAATAAAAATAATATTTTATTTAATCAATTTTTTTTGGTCTTTTTGAGACAGGGTCTCCCTGTAGTCCCAGCTGTCCTGGAACTCACTATGTAGACCAGGCTAGCCTTGAACTCACAGAGATCCACCTGCCTGGGATTAAAGGTGTATGCCACCACACCCAGCTAATAAAACATTTTTAAAAAACATATAAAGTGTGGGTGGGCTGTAGTTTTCCTATAGGAAATTCAGTCAGTGGTTGAGGATATAGCTCAAGATGGACTGGGCATTCTCAACAGGGCACCTCTCTCTTGACACAGGACATAGGCTAGGGCAGAGACTGCAGATGCTGCTGCCAACACTGAGTTGGGCTAGTACATCTATGAGCTGTGTTCGCTAATACTACAGGAAGGTATTCCCTTTTTAAAGCCCCTCCCATTCTCATGAGTTCTCACTTTTCCCTTAATAAGCCTTAGTAAGTCAGAGACAGGAGGGGCAAGATGACTCACTCAGCAGGTAAAGGCACTTGCCACCACCTAAGTTTGATCCCTTGAACCAACCTGGTAGGAGAGAACTGTTTCCCTCAAGTTATGCTCTGACCTCCATACATGCTCACCCACATTCTCATTCTCTCTCTCTCTCTCTCTCTCTCCCTCTCTCTCTCTGTGAAAAAAAAAAAAAAAGACAAAGGAATCCAGTCCAGAAAAGACAGAGGGACTGCCTGAGTGTTGTGCAGCAATTTCCTCCAACATAAAGGTAGTTGATTAAATGCAGGAAATAACTCAAAGGCTTCAAGAAGTCCTTGAAGCTGACCAGATTCACTAGTTTTTTTTTTTTTCTTTTTTTTTTTTTTTGGTCTTTTTGAGACAGGGTCTGTGTGTAGCCCCAGCTGTCCTGGAACTATGTAGACCAGGGTGATCTTGAGATCCACCTGCCTCTGCCTCCTGAGCACTGGGACTAAAGGTATGCGCCACCACACCCAGGTCACTAGGCTTCTTTTGTCCCCCATGGGTATATAAGCAGTAAGGACTGCTGAGGGACTTTGGACCAGCAGAGCAGCACAGAGTGCTGAAACAGACACTCTCCAACCTGTGGAGCTGCCTGCAGGTTGTGCAGTGTGCTCCAGATCTTCAGCTGTCGTGGGCTGCCATCCATGCTAGGGTGCACTTTCTGTCATTTCTGCTCCTATAGAGCCAATAAAATTCAGTGGTTTACCAAGTTGGATTTGGGTGGTATCCTGACCAGTCAGTCTGTCACTGGCTCCTTATCTGGGGTGAGCAGACATTTGTTCATGTCTCCCCAGGAGTAGTGTCACACAGCACTTGGGTATACATTTTCTTCCCTTCACAGAAGACAAAGTAGTCTCAATTTTTTTTTCTTTCATGTAGTCTGGGCTGGCCTTGAACTCATGATCCTCCTGCCTCCACCTTCCAAATGCTGGAATTACAGGTGTATACCACCATGCCAGCATGCGCTCTCTCTCTCTCTCCCCTCCCTCTCTCAGATTGGCCTCACTATGTAGCCAAGTAGCCCTGGCTGACCTAGACCAAGCTGGCCTCAAAGTCCTCTGCCAGGATTAAAGGTATGCAACAAATGTCCAACCTTTCATCTATAATTTTTTGATGCTGGGGACTGAAGCAAGGACCTTGCGCATGCTTAAGCATGACTCCACCACCCTTCCCTCCCTCTTAATTCGTTCCCTCATTTTACCCAGGATCTCAGACGTTAGACCTAATGGGGGCAAAGGGAGAGACAGAAATGCTGGACCCCTTGTCTCAGGCTCTTGGCTTAGTGATGTTTTTACTCTCTTGAGGGTAGACCCCTCTCTCAGGAGCAATCCCCGCGCTTCCATTTTCAGGAAGCAGCATGCACACATTCCATCAGAGCAGAAATCAAGCCTGTGAACTGTTTTCTGTTTTGTTTTTTGGTTTTTGTTTGTTTTGAGACAGGGTCGCCCCAGTTGGCCTGGAACTCACTATGTAGACCAGGCTGGCCTCAAACTCACAGAGATTTGCCTGCCTCTGCCTCCCAAGTTCCGGGATTAAAGGCATGTGCTGCCACACCCAGCATGCCTGTGTAGTATTACTTTATGGGCAGCTTGGCTGAGTCCCAGTCAGACACCAGAGGTTAGGACCAGGCGTGGTGGCACACGCCTTTAGTACTAGCACTCGGGAGGCAGAGGCAGGTGGATCTCTGTGAGTTCAAGGCCAGCCTGGTCTACATAGTGAGTTCCAGGACAGCTGGGGCTACAGGGAGACCCTGTCTCAGAAAGACGAAAAAAAAAAAGGAATGTAAAGGAAGGAATCCTGTCTGTTGTGGTGGCACACACTTACAATCCCAATACTTGGGAGTCTGAGGCAGGGGTATCTGGAGTTTGAAGCCAGCCTGGGTGACATGCAGATCAAACCCAGGGCCTCCAATCAAGGTAGACAAGTGCTCTATGGGGTGCATCTCCAGCTCTATTAAACACTTTTTTTTCAATATATATTTCATTTATTATTTTTATTTTATGTGTATGAGTGTATTGCCTGCATGTATGTGAGTGGACCTGTGTTGTGCAATGCCATGGAGGTCAGAAGGGGACTTCAGAGTCCCCTGGAACTGGAGTTAAGGGTGGTTTGAAGCGGCCATGTGGGTGTTGGGAATCTAACCCGGATCCTCTGCAAGAGCAGTAAGTGCTCTTAACAGCTGAGCCATATCTCCAGACCCACAGTGTCTGTCTTTAGCTGGTTTGTTCCTGTGTGTGTATGTGTATGTGTGAGATGCATGCTAGAAATTGAACCCAGAGTTCCTCAAATGCTAGGGAACTGCTTTACCAGTACCTATACCTCAGCCCTAGTCAGTGATTCTTAACCTGCCTTTGGACATGTTCATTTGGGAACCAGGAAAATGTATATAGCCAACAAAATATTCTTTGGCACAAAACTATTATATACACTGGGCCACAACTTAGGGGAGAACTATGAATTCTGGCCATAGGCAAGGAGGCAGCTGCGTACCTGGGCATTTTCTCCGGGCTTCCTTCCAGGATCTCAACTTGCCCAGCCGTTGGCACACACAGAACATCCCCTTCCTGGACCACCCTGCAACACATCAGTGACCTCAGTCAGCTCACTCGTGGGAGTCACGAGTGTGTGCTTGACACATCTCCCATGCCTACCCACACTGTGGAGACTTAGGGATCTACTGCACACCCAGAGATTTCCAAACCATTTTCTAGGGAAAAAGGAAGATGTGGACTGAGCTGGAGAAATGGTGGAAAGCTGAGAAAAGGGATCAGAAGAGGACCCCCGGCTCTTTTGGAGTCCTTTTGACCAAACAGTCCTTTTTACTTGGAATGTTCAAATTCACCTCACAGTTGAGATTTATTTTCTCTCCTCTGCCTGACATTCCAAGGCTCCTGGCTTCACTGCTTAAAATACAGGTTCATTTATTCAGAGGCCCTGCCTGGGGCATCTGGATCTAAGCCATGGGATGGGAGGTGAGAGATAAGGGTGAGGTGTTTTTTTCCCTGAAGGGTACAGGCTGCTAACCTGGGTGTCTGAAAGTGCTGGTAAAGAACATGGTCATAGTTTCCACTAGTGCTGTAGTGAGGAGAGGACACAATCTTGATGTGTAACTCTCTGGCAAATGGAGGCCCAGGCAGCAATGAACAGCTTCGTCTGTCTTCAGGGGTGCCGGAGCCTTCCAAATACCTCTGTTAGAGAAACAATCAACCACCTTAGAACCTCCAAGGAGTCAGGTTTTGCTCTCTTAGCAGCCAGTATCAACACCTGTCCTGTATCTTTCCCATAACAAGGCTTTAGACACCTGGGGTAGCTAACTGCATACCTCTTAGTATCCTCAGAAAACCAAATGTTCTCTTTCTAATGTGCAAAAGTCATGCATGTCTTATTCTGGCTCCAAAAAGCTCTCTATAAAGACCACCTTTTTGTGCTTTCCTGTGATACCTTCAACTTAGCCCAAAGCCACTGCAACGCAATGTATTCCAAGTTTTTGTGTTTTTTTTTGTTTGCTTTTGGATTACTGTACTTGTACTTGTTATGTTGTCAAGACTGCTTTCAATCTTAATCCTCCTGCCTCTACCTCCCAGGAACTAGGACTTCAGGTGTACATTGCTGTGCCTGCTCTCACAGCCCTTTGACACCAGGCGGCCACTGGAACTGACATAATGTGATCTTTAGTGAGGACACTGAATTCTGGTGTGGGAAAAGGACATGACTTTGTTGTGTCTCATGCTGTATGTAGCTCAGGTAGGCCTTGAACTAATGAGCCTCCTGCCTCAGCCTCCCAAATTGGGAGATTCCAAGCAGGGGCTACCACACCCAGCTTGGGACATTATCCTAGCAAAGCTGAAAGGAACAGGTTCCACTGAGTATGTCTGCAGATTTTTCTTCAATCAGGAGGAAGCCCCCAGTCACTGTCATCCATACAGATACTTCCTGACATCTTTGTTGTTGGTTTGGTTTTGGTGCTAGCGATGGGCTATAGGGCCTCTCAGGTGCTAGGCAAGAGCTCTACCATGAGCCACACCCCAGCCCCATCTCAAAGTATTAACTGGTCACTCACCCAACAGCACTTTCTACAATGATAACGTGTTCTGCATCTATGTATATCATTTGGCATTGATCTGTGGTGAAAGCCACTGAAGAACTGTTTTTTTTTTTGTTTTTTTTTTTTTCGGTTTGCTTTAGCTAGTTTATTAATTTAAAGTGGCTACTGGCCTTCTTACAAGTAGCATCAACCTAATCCATACATCTAGAGGCCTAAACACTAGACTGTGATTGTCCCAAGTACAACTATATTTTTAAAAGGCAGAAATGAAAAACTTCAAAAATTTCTCTTGAATGTATTTAATAAGATATTAAACACCAGACATCAAAGAGAATAAAGAGACTTTTCCTTCAGGGAATTTACAATATATAGTTGAGGACTGGGCATATTATATAATCATAAAGAATGTGATAAACAGATACAAAAGGTTAGGAAGAAAGTTAAACTTGTGGTAGTAAGGTTATGAAGAAGGAGTCAGCTCTAGGGGGGTTTGGAAGCACGTAAGGGACAGTAGAATTTTATCAGATGAAGCTAGAAAAGGAAGTCAAGGGTTAAGCATTAAAAAAAGCTCTAAGACACCATTCTCCACAGTACCCAGCACAATGTATGTAGCAATCCAGTGTCCGACTAGATTAGATAAATAGACATCTGATATTTTGTGAACCTCACCTTTCCCCTAAATACAGGAAATCACCCATGTACCACTACACTAAGGAGACTTATCCTATTTTGATAATAGCGAATGGGTAAATAAGGCTAAGTAAGGGACATTCAGTGCAAAGTCCTGGATTGTAAGGCGCAGGGGACCGAAATTCTACAGCTCCAGCCTTCCAATCCAGTCAAGACAGGTAAGAGAGGGAAATAAGGTAGAAGGAAAAGAAAGCATTCCTGACCTGAATTCTGAGCTCTCCCACTTCCAGGGGGTCACAGCCGAGATTAAAAGCCAGAGTGGCAGACACGAGCGCCAGTCCATCAGCGAGGGGTTCTCCCAGCTGCCCAGAGCTGGGTCCCAGTCTCTCGGGCAGGTCCCAGCGAGGTTCTAGGACCTGTACCTTGGCCAAGTGCGGCTGGGAGGTGTTTGGTACCTCTCCGGCCCGGGCCACCCATACCCATTCCCCCTGGAAAAGGCCGAGACCACGGAGACAGCTCCGGCTCACCCCCAGTGTATCCTCTCCAGCCCCTCCCATAACTCCCTGGAGTCGCCGGACCCGGTGGTGGATGGCGAAGGAGGACACCAAAGGCGGGGGCGGGGGCCGGCTGCTGTCCCCACTCTCGGGACACAGTCTGGGCCGCCCGCGGAGCTCAGTGACAGCCAGCCGAGTCCCCGGGCCCAGCAGCCCTTGCAACGCTGGCCGCGTCTCCAGCACGCGCGGGCCGGGCACTGACAGGGTCTCTCCGCGCCGCACCAGCAGCGGCCCGACTCGTGGGCCCAGCCCGGGTACCGGAGCGGTGCCGAGCAGCGCCCAGCCCAGCGCCGGAGGCCTCCGCACGGGTCGCGCGCGCACGCGCGCCCCGGAGCCCAGAGCCAGCAGCCGCAGCAGCACGCGGCTCACCAGCAGCGGCGGAGGCCCTGGGCCGCGCTCCTCGCTGCTAACATCCGGCCCTTCCACGGCCGCCACCAGCAACGCCGGCCCCGCCGGGCTCTCGCTCGCAGGCCGCAGCGCCAGCACCAGGCCCAGCCCCGCTGCGGGCCACGGGCCCCCGGGCGGCAGCAGCACCGCCAGCGGGGGTATCTCGGTGGGGAATGGCTCCAAGACCCGCAGGACCGCCAGCGCCATGGTGACTAAGGTGCCGGAAAGCGAAGAGCGGCAGCTTCCGGAATCAGCGAACCCGGAAGAGCTGCCCTTCCGCTTCTGTCAGGGGCGTGGGTGGCGCGTCGGATTCCGGAGCTAGTCTGGGAGAGGAAGCGCTGCGCCCTGGCTGGTCAGACCCCAGGGAGGATGCGCAGCCTACGCATGCGCCGTTTGGACCTGCGTGTATGCTAGGATTTATCTTTGCTTTTAGGTAGGGAAAGTAACATCTCCTTCGTTATCATGCCGGGTCACACGCTTTTAATAATTTATGACTGATCAAGAGTGGTTACTGTGACCAGAACTGATAGGGAGAATTTTTAGGAAGTAGTTCACTTTACTTGGGAAATCTTTTGTCCTGCTCAGCAGTAGGTATTAAAGCTTGTCGGGTGAATGTCGAGTTTTGTTTTTATTGTTTTGTTTTTAATTTTTTAAAATTTATTGTTGGGGCTGGAGAAGTGGCTCAGCAGTTAAGAGCACTGTCTGCTCTCCCAGAGGACCTGGGTTCGATTTCCAGCACCTATTTGGCGTCTAATAACCATCTGTAACTCCTGTTCCAGAGGATCCGACGCCTTCTTCTGACCTCTGTAGGCATTGTACGACACGGGGTGCACTTACGTACATGCAGGCAAAACATTCATACACATAAAATAAGAATAAATAAGTTTAAATTTTATTTTTATTAAGCCGGGCATGGTGGGGCACACCTTTAATCCCAGCACTCGGGAGGCAGAGGCAGGCCAATCTTTATGAGTTCAAAGCCAGCTGGGGCTACAGGGAGACCCTGTCTCAAAAGAACCAAAAAAAATTTTTATTTTGTGTGCCTGCATAAATGCAAGTGTACTACAGGTATGCAATACCTAGGAGGCCAGAAGAGGCGTCAGAGCCCTTGTAACTGGAGTTACTGACAGTTGTTTGTATGTGGCTGCTAGTAATAAACCTCTTCAGGAGCAGCCAGTGCCCTTAACCACTAGACCATCTCTCCAGCCCTTTGTTCTTGTTTTTTGAGGCAGGGTCTCCCTGTAACCCCAGCTAGCCTGGAACTTGTCATATAGAACAAGTGCGCCTCAACCTCACAGAGATCCACCTGACTCTGCCTCCAAAGTGCTTCAGTTAAAGGTGTACACCACCATGCTCTGCACAGAGAGGTTGGAAGAGGGAGTGGTAGGATTATAAAACTGTCCCAGACATATGTATGGATCTGTAGTGGCTACTGACTGAATTACTGCATATGACTCATGTAGCCTCGGAAAGGTAGGTGCTGCCACACCCATTCCAATGCACCCAACAGAAACCCAGGTTCCAGAGCTTTTGGTCCTGTCCTTGTCCCATCAACCTTCAAGACTGAGCAGCTTACTTCTTTTCTCAAACCCAGCTGCTCCCTTCTCTACCCTAGAGGAAGGCTGGCCGCAGAACAGGCAGAAGGAAAAGGTTGGAGGGTTCTGTGATGGAAACTGCCAAGAGCCTGTGCTCTTACTAGATTCCGTTTTTGTTGTCACTGCTCCATTGCACATTTCCAATGAATAACATTTACTGTATCTTCATTTATATCTCATCAATGTATGAGATAGCAGAAATCTCTTTCTGGATCTGGCATTATCTTACAGATCCTTACCACTATTCTCCTTTACAGCTGAGCACCTTGAGATAGCCTTCTGTATTGTTTTGTTTTTGTTTGTTTGTTTGGTCTTTTTGAGACAGGGGTCTTCCTGTAGCCCCAGTTGGCCTGGAACTCCCCATGGAGACCAGGCTGGCCTCCAACTCACAGAGATCCACCTGCCTCTGCCTCACAAATGCTGGGATTAAAGGCATGTGCCACCATGCCCAGCAGTCTTCTGTTTTGTATAGTATACATTCCTGAAAGTCAAATATCTCAAGCTTAAATATTAGGATGAAATGTTATAGGCTATTTCTATTCCTGAGAGACAAGAAAATATTTAAATTTCTGATTATAGTTTCTTATGTCATAAACCTGAAACTGGGCTAGAGATATAACTCAATTGGTAGAGTAGTTGCCTGGCATGCATGAAGTTTGATCACCAGCACTTCATAAACTAGGTATACATCTGTCATCTTAGCACTTGGGAGGGGGAGACAATGGTTACATAGGGAATTTGAGATGAGATGAGCCTGGGATACATGAGAAGCTATTTCAAAACAACAAAACTAGGACTGGAGAGATGGTTCAGTGGTCAAGAGCACTGATTGCTCTTGCAGAGGACCCAGATTCCAATCCCAGCACCCACATGGTGGCTAACTGTCCATAACTCCAGTTCCAGGGGACCAGACTCCCTCTTCTGAACTCCTTAGGCATTGCATGACATGGGTGCATTTACATACATGCAGGCAATACACTCATATACATAAAATAAAATAATTTTTAAAACCCATTAAATAGTCCATTCTCATTGTGTGTGTGTGTGTGTGCATGTGTTTGCATGTGTGAACGTGTGTCCAGGCACTCACTAATGCACATGTGTAAACATTATGAAGGCCAGATATTTTTCCTTTATTTATTTATTTTTTGGTCTTTTTGAGATAAGGGCTCCCTGTATGGCCTGGAACTCACTATGTAGGCTGGCCTTGAACTCACAGAGATCTGCCTGTCTCTCTCTCCTGAGTGCTGGGATTAAAAATGTGGGCCACTAAGCTGGGCCTCTCGATTTTTTTAAAGAAATATTTATTTTTATTTTATGTGTATGTGTATATTGCCTACATGTATGTAAGTGCACCTGTGTGGTGCAGTACCCTCGGAGGACAGAAGAGGCTGTTGGATCCCCTGGAACTGGAGTTATGGACAGTTGTTAGCTGCCATGTGAGTGCTGGGATTTGAACCCAGGTCTTCATGCAAGAACAGCCAGTGCTCTTAACCGCTGAGCCATTTCTCCAGCCCCAAGCCTCTCTTGATTTAAAAAAATATTTTATTTATTTTTATTTTATGTGTATGATTGTATTGCCTGTATGTGTGTAAGTGCACCTGTGTCATGCAATGCCGGCAGAGTCAGAAGAGGACATTGAATCCCCTGGATCTGGAGTTACAGGTGGTTGTTAGCCGCCATGTGGATTCTGGGAATCAAACCTGGGTCCTCTGCAAGAGCAGCCAGTGCTCTTAACTGCTGAGCTCCTGAGCTCTGGAATTATAGGCATACACTCTTATGCCTAGCTTAATTAATGCTTTCATACATACATAGACACATATGTACTGGATGGAAATTGAACCTAGGGCCTCACACATGCTAGGCAAGCACTCTATCACTGAGCTGCAGTGCCAGCTCCTATTCCTACGTTTTCTTTAAAAAAAAATTTTTTTTTGTCTTTTTGAAACAGGGTCTCCCTGTAGCCCCAGCTGGCCTGGAGCTTGCTATGTAGTCCTGGCTGACCTCAAACTCACAGAGATCTGTCTGCCTCTGCCTCCCGAGTGCTGGGATTAAAGGCGTGTGCCACCAAGCCCAGCTTTATTATTTTTATTTTATTTTATGTATATGAGTGTATTGCTTGCATGTAAGTGCACCAGTGTCATGCCAAGCCTATGACAGTCAGAAGAGGGCATCAGATCCCCTGGAACTGGAATTATGGATGGTTTTTAGTCAACATGTGGGTGCTGGGAACTGAATCTGGATCCTCTGCAAGAGTAGCCGGTGCTCTTAAGATCTGAGCCATCCTTCCAGCCTCCTAAGATAAGATTTATTTAATTTTATTTATTTAATTAATAATTATATGATTTATTTCTTTTTATTTTATGTGTATGAATATATATATATATATATATTCGTAGTACATGCATACCGGTGCCTGCTTGGGCCAGAAGAGGGCATCGCATCCCCTAGAAATGGAGTTACAGATGGTTGTGAGCCACCATGTGGATGCTGGGAACTGAACTCAAGTCCTCTGGAAGAGCAGTAAGTGCTCTTAACCACTGAGCCATCTCTCCAGCCCCCTATTCCCATATTTTCAAAGTACATGTAAGAAGGTACTAGGGCTAGGCATGGTGGTACACATCTGTAATCCCAGCACTCTGGAGGGTGAGGCAAGAGGATCTTGTGTTCTTGGCCAGCCTGGGCTACATATAAAGACCCTGAAGTAACAACAACACCAAATAAGGTAAGAGAATCTGGATTCACAGAGATGAAAATTCCCATTTGCCAATCTTAGTATATGTGGCCCTGTCCCCTGCCTCCCAGCTGAGTCAATGACTTAGTAGGTGGGGTAGGTTTAGAAAGGATATTCCTGCCTTACACAGTTGCAGGCAAGCCCCAATCCTCAGGGCTACCATGCCCTTGAGGATGGGCAAAAATATGTGTTGCCCTCCCTGGATTACATTTATACAGACACAATGTCTGTCCACGAATAAACACCTTTTGCTCCTAGGCTTTTTTCCTGCAAGTAATGATTGATATGAAGTCTACTGTATGTTGCCTTCAACTCTTTCATTAATCATAAAGCTAAATCCTTTCTCTGGATGATAGTTAGGATCCTCCATTTGCTACCTTCACTTCCCTACCTCTTGCTCATTCTTCAACCCACTGTAAACTTGTACTCCCCTGGAACTTCCCTGGCATAGATCACGAGGAACCTCCTAACTGCAAAACCAAAGTATTGCTATTCATTTTTTATCTTACTCAATCTACCTCTGGCCAATTCTCTAACTTCCTTTACCATTATGGTCCCAGTTTCCTCCATCTTTTATCATTTTTGAAAGTTATTCTCAACTCCTCTTTTCCCCTATCTGTCTCTCACAATCCAACAAATCATCAAATCCTGCTGGTTGTATGTATTTCTTTTTACAAATTTATTTATTTATTTTTATGTGTATGAGTGTTTTACCTGCACGTATGCAAGTGCACCTGTGAGTGCAATGCTCATAGAGGTCAGTGAAACTGGAGTTAAGGACGGTTGTTAACTGCCATGTGGGTGCTGGGAATCAAACTAAGATCGGTCAGAAGAGCAAAGCTCTTAATTGCTTAGCTGTCTCTCCAGCCCTGTGTACACAGTTCTTGATCCCATCTTCTTAAACATTGTCTCTTTGGGTAAGGATCACTGGCTTGCTTACGTACGTATGTATGTATGTATGTATGTATGTATGTTGGAGGAACCCAAGGTCACCTACAGCTACCACAGGATTATTTTAAATATTTATTTATTTATTTATTTTTAAATTGTATGTGTATGAGTGTTTTGCCTGCATGTATGGAAATGCACCTGAGTGTTCAGTGCCCACAGAGACCAGAAGAGGGCATCCGAACTGGAGTCACAGTTTTTGGCCACCATGTGGATGCTGGGAACCTGTTTTGGTTCCTGTTTTGTCCTCTGTAAGGGCAGCCAGTTCTCCTAACCACTGAGGCATCTCTCCAATCCCATAGGCTTACTTTTAATTTTTTTTTTTTTTTTGAGACAGGGCCTTTTTGTAGCCCAGGCTTGATTTGAACTGGCTATGTAGCCAAGGCTGGCCTGGAACTCCTGGAGTATCTATCAAGTGCTGGGATTATAGGGTTAAACTACCACACCCAGCTTCTGAAGGCTTATTTTTTTATTTTTTATTCTTTTGAAACAGTGTCTCATTATGTAGCCCCAGTTGACCTGGAACATCTTATGTAAACCAGACAACCTGGAACTTCTTATGTAGACCAGACAAGCCTCGAATTTATAGAGATCTGTCTGCCTCTGTTTCCTGAGTGCTGAGATTAAAGGTGTTTACCCACATGTGCACCCGTTTGTGCACCTGCACGCCCAGCGGCAGTCTTATTCTTGATGGACCTCCAATTTTTTTTCTTCAAATTTACTTATTTATTTTTTAAATTTTATTATTTTTATTTTATGTATATGCGTGTATTGCCTGTATGTAGGTAAGTGCATCCAAGTTGTGCAATGCCTGCGGAGGTCAGAAGAGGTTGTCGGATCCCCTGGGACTGGAGTTACGGACAGTTGTTAGCTACCATGTGGTTGCTGGGATTCGAACCCGGGTCTTCTGCAGGAATAACCAGTGTTCTTAACCATTGAGCCATCTCTCCAGCCCCCTCCAAATTAATTAATTAATTGATTAACTAATTAATTAATTAGTTAATTAATATGTATTAGTGTTTTGCCTGTCTACAAATGCACCACATGCATGCAATGCCAACCTAGGCCAGAAGAGGGAGTCAAGTCCCAGGGAACTGGAGTTACTGAAGGTTATTAGCTGCCATGTCAGTGCTGGGAACCAAACCCAAGTCTTCTGCAAGAGCAGCCAGTGCTCTTAACCACTGAGCCCTCTCTCCAGCCCCCTCCTCCAATTTCTTAATGTAGTCTATCAGCTACTGAGGTAACCTTTAAAGTTTATTCCTCCATGCCACTTCAAGGTTTGTGTAATTTATTACCGTGTATTTTAATCATTTGCTTATACAAGTTTGTAAACTTCATGGAGTGGGAACTCCCTGAGGGCAAGAACGAGTCTTATCCATTGGGAACACTGGTTTGGGTGCGGTGGCAGGCAAGGGTTAGGGTTTCCGGGACACTCAGCCATGAGTTGCTTTTCGTCTCCATTCTCTACTGCTCAAACTTAGCTGGTTTCTCAGTCCCAGCAGCCCTGGGACCCACTTCTTGAAGCTGCTGCAAACCAGGGATCCTCATTCCACCGCTGGTTAGGTTTCCTTTTTGCTCCTCTGCAACTGAGATCTAGGACAATCTTGGTGAATGACCTGGGAGGGCACTTGGGAGCTTTTTCTCCAACAATTTTACGCTTGCAATGTGAGCTACTTAACTCCGGTGAAGAGAGGTGCCCTTTTGTTTTAGAGCTTCTTTGCTCCAGTTTGGACCAGGCCGGGTAGCAGAATGGGTTGCGCGGGGAGGTAGTTTGAGAGGCACTTTGGGAGGTAAGGCTGCAAAGAATAGCGGAGGACGACGTACAGCAGACGCTGGAGTGCAGTACTTGGTAGCCCAGCTCGGGTTTCCCTTGTCCCCGCCTCCTGCGCCAAGCCCGACCCACTGTAGGGCGGGACCTTCCCCTCCAGCCAATTCTGGGAGCCAAACCCTGGCGGTTTGTACTCTTTCTTTCCAATGAGAAAAAAAGGAAGCAGCTTGGCTCCAATGGCCAATCGGAGAGGGCGGCGCCTGGTTGTCAGGCAGGTTTGTAAGACTTGGGGCCAATTGGAGGCGCAGCCACCGCTCGACCCGGGCGCTGCGCGCAGGCGGTGGCGGAGAGACGCCGAGCGGGCCGAGTGCGGCCGAGCAGAGCCGGAGCCGAGCGGGGCCGCAGGAGCCGGGCCGGGTGTGGACCGGCCGAGATGCCCTATAAACTGAAGAAGGAGAAGGTGAGCGTGGCCTTTCCCCGCGCGCCTCCGCCGCGGGGCCTGCGCCGAGCTCTGGGAGGGGCCCGCAGCAGGCCCGGGACAGCCCCAGACTGACCCTCGGGTCCGGCTCCCCGCAGGACCCTCGCGGTAGGCAGCACCCCCCAGCCTGTGCTGCCGTAGGGACTGCTCCCCATCGGTGCCCTGCCCCGGGCCGGCCCCCCACCCCTACCCCCGGTCGCTTACTCCTACCCACCCGGGCCCGGTCCAGATCTGCCCCACTCCCTGGTCACTCCCCTGCCTTTTTTTCTCCCCGCCTCCCTCTGCCTCTGATCCCCCCGCCTCCACCGGTTTGGGACAGCCCTCTTCCAAGACTGCACCTCCCTCCAGAGCCTCACCCCCACCCCTCGCCCTGTGCAGTCCCTTCCCTCAGCAGCCTAAGGACGGCCTCTCTACAGTTCCTCCAGCCCCTTTCTTTCTCCACACCAAGCCCCCTGACCTAGAACAGAGCTGCTTTCTCTCTCCTCCACCCAAATCTGGCCTAGGCCCTTCCCTTTAGTTCTTCCTTTCTACACAAACTTGTAAGCCAGGACTGAGCCCTTCCTTCTGTTGATGGAACCCCAGAACGTCAATGCTGGAAGGCGGCTCTTGAGCACATGCATTGTAGTCCCTAGTGGTACAGATGGGGAGACCCGGGGCCCTGACATAGGAAGGGACTTGTCCAAGGTCACACATCCTGCTGGAGGCCCAACTGCAATGATCAGATCTCCTGATTTGGAGGTCTCTTCTGTGCCAGTGCCCACCTAAGTGACATCAGCTGGCTTTCTTGTTCATCCTAGAACAGACACGTTTTCTAGTCTTAACCAGGCTCCTCTCCTTATTCCTTAGGATAACCCTTGCATTTTTCCTTTTTCGCACCAGCGCTAGATTTCTCCCTTTCCTGGGCACGTTATCCTCAAAGCAGGAATCTGCCCTGTCCCATTTAGTCTTCTTTCTATCCTGCAGGCCAGCCATCTCTTTGTTATGATGTCTTTACACAGACTGTTTATTATTTGCAGTGCTGGAGATCAAACCCAGGACTTTGCACATGCTAGGCATGTGCTCTACCACTGAGCTGTGCTCCCAGCCTCACAGGCCATTTCCTGCTGTTGCCCTCTCTTGCCTCCTGTCTCCATACGGCCCTCACCTGTTCCTCATCCCTGCCTTTTTCTACCCTTTGTTTCTTGCCGTTGCTGAGGTCTGACTCAGAGGTGTGGTTCCTTTGAGGTACAGACTTACACGGAGGATGCTAGGATACCAGTTCCAGCCTCCCCCAGCTTTTCTTCTCCTGGGGCTGGCTCTGGCTTGGTATCATGGCCCACCCTCCTGAAGACCCCAGAGGTGTATTGCTTTGATTTTCCCTCTGATTGGCTGAATTTGCTGGGCTGGCATCCCTGACCTTATCAAACTCTTTATCCTGGGGCTGTTGCATATCTGCCAGGCAGCTCTGATTATGGATTATCACTGAACTTCTAAGAGTCTCAGATTTGAAGCACAGGGCTGGTGATGGTGCCCTAGGCACTGAACTTTTTGAGGGTGGTAGCTGGGAAGGGTTATGTGTCCCACCCAAGTCCTTGGGGAGTGGACATACTAGTGTGGTTTAGACATTTCAGTTGTAGACACCGCACACACAAAATAGTTACACTGTGAGCGGAGGAGTGTGGAATTCAGGGGAAGCAATAAGACACCCCCCACACACACCTGTGGTTTTTAGAGTGATGGACCAGATCCTGTCCCATCAGCAGAAAGCCTTTGCCTTCTGCATGATTGAGAATTGGAGGAAATAGTCTTAGACTTCCTAGGACCATGTGTCGTAGGATTTGGCTGAGAAAGGGCTTTGGAAGGATTGCGGTGCATAGAGGCAGGCATGGAGTCCATTAAGAGATTTTTAACCTACATTTGATTTTTGGCTGCATTTGGCCTGGCCTCCTTCAATGGTTGGCAAGTTTTGAGGGGGAGAGACAATGTGACTGAGGTGTGCCAGGATGGAGGCACAGAGATGGGACCCCATTGGGTTCATCCATCACCTGTTCCCTTTCTCTTGCTTCTCTGCTGGTCCCAGTCCTTTCCATCCTTCACTCTTTCCTCCCTGAAGCCTTTCCTGAGCCCCTAGGCAGACCTGAACTCTCTCTCCTCCCCTGGGTTTGCAGAATTCTTGCTAGGTTACTTAGAGACTTTTCACGCTCAGCCTTGAGTGGGAATGAATTATAAACTAGTCTTGCAAGTCTTGTCTTTCTCCTTGAGGTAATAACTAAGCTGTGTTTTGGTTCAGCATCTCCCTTGCACACAATAGGTGCTTATTCGAATAGGTGCTGTGTCAATCTTTGGGAAGCTTTGCAACCCTCTTCTATTCTGAAATAAGCCTCACATCTTTTATCTTCCTGCCTGAGGTACCCTGCTCCCTCCCACTTCCTTATTCATAATAATAGATTTTCATGTGCTAGACACTGGGCTAAAGAAAGTGGGTACTAGGATTATTTTTGCTTAATGGATGAGGAAAATGAGGCTCAGAAAGGCCAGTTAACTTGCTCACTCTCACATAGCTTAGTAAAAGCTGAGCTCAAAACACAGTGCTGGCTCCAAACCTCAGTGTCATGCATCACTCGACAGCTGGGCCAGGCCAGTATGTGCTTCACCTGTTCTGCAGAAGCAAGGAGCAAGACTGGTGGGCCCCGTTCCCCCACACCCACTCACACCCACACACCAAGGCAGCTGAGTCTCTCAGGCACATTCCCTGTGAGAGATGTCTCAGGCGTCCTGCTGAGTGCCATAAGGTGGGTGGAGGGTACAAAAAGAATAGGCGGCTTATGATCAAGTAGAGAGATCAGACCTGTATGAAGCTGTATGAAGATGGGTCAGCTTTGTTGGAGGGGCCCGTGTCTGTTTGTGCTGTCAGTCACCTTGGCCTGCATCCTCTCATCCTTGTTTTTTCTCTACTGCTTGCTATGAGCCACTCACAGGAGTCAGTGTGGCCAGCCTGTGCAGTAGGCAGTGGGAAAGTGCTTGGCCTAAAGAAGGAACCCCTTCCCCTTCAGTGTCAGCGTCAAGCTGCTTCATACCCAGGAATGGCTTTCTCTCCACTCCCAAGAAGCCTTCCCCCATTCCAGCCCACACAGAGCTCTCTTCTCCCTGAAATCCTTTTGCCCCCATAGTCAAAATCACTTGATTTAACACTTCTCCCTGAAGGGGCTTGGCTGCTGTTGAATTGCAGACTCTTGGAGCTGGAAATGATTTCCAAGATCCTCCAGTCCAGCTCTCAAGTAGGGCCTGAATCCTTTTGCAACATGGCAGGCCATCCAGCCTCTGCTTGAATGCGCCCAACTGGGAGCTTTCAGCTTCACTAGGCAGCCAGTGTCTATGAAACTGTACTGTGAGAAAATTCATCCTTGTTTGGGGCCTGTGTCTGTCCTCTTTCAATTCCAGCCCATTTCTCTTGGGCTTCTGGGTCCATAAGGACAAGCCGTATCTTTAGTCCACATGCGAGTTTTTCCTTTGCTGGTTAAGATCCATCTTGCTCCCCCACCTTCCAGAACTCTTCCCTTCTATGTTAACGACCCCAGTTCCTGCAGCTGTTGCGCCTAGGCCTAGCTTTTGAATACACTGCCAGCACGGTTGCATTTCCTCCTGTGAGGAAGGAGGATTTCTCATCGCCCTTCTCAGAGGCTGCTCATGACTGAACCAGACCCTCCAAGCTGGGCCTGTCAGTGCCAAGCACTCCACGCAGGTCTCTTAACTGGGTGGAAGGTCACGTGACCTGCACTGGCACGCTCCAGCACTTGGATGATTTGTGTTGAACTTGCAGTCAGTGCTACATCTCCAAGTCTTTTTCCCGTTTTCCCCATCCTGTTCCTTTGTGGTTGCTTTTTCTTTTTTGGCCCAGAGCATAGGAAGAGATGCTGGACAGGCTAGGGCTCTGAGCCAGTTGCCAGGTTCCCAAGGGAAACTTCAGATTGGTGCTCAAGCTTTGTGAGCATTTGGGGCTTCTCCGCCATCTCTGACCTGGCCCTTGCTGTCTGAGGCACTCTTGACATTTTGGGTGGGATACTTCTGTATGTTACGATCCTGATGAAATGCCAATCATGCTCTCTTGTCTAGCGCTTCTTTTGACATCTAAAAAAATGCCCGTTGGTCTCTCTGGATGGCCCTGCAGGGAGAGAGGTGACTTCTACCACTCTTAACATGGATGCTTCGAACCCCTGTGACCAAGGCAGCCAGAAGCGAGGCTGGCCAGAAGCGAGGCTCATCAGCCTGTACCCTGAAGCTTTTCCTTAACCCCCCATCTGAAGACTTACCTGACTGAGGGCTTTCTAAGCCTAGCCTGTGTGCCAGCTTGATGAGGAGACAAATGAAAGAATGTGATCATGCTTAGTTATTATGTTAGGGACAACTTCCTACCCAGATTCTAGACTCCTTGAAGGGGATGAATCTCCTCATGGGTCCCAGGGTTGGCATATGTAGTTCTGATTGATTCATAGATTCAGTTGGACAGTGAATAGTTAGAACAAAGACCTAAAATATTTATCTTTATTTTGTGTGTATGAGTGTTTTGCCTGAATGTATGTAACTGTACCATGTGTATACAATACCCATGGGAGCCAGAAGGGCGCATCAGATCTCCTGGAACTGAAGCCCTTTTCCGACTGTCAGCTGTCATGTGAGTGCTGGGAACTGAACTTGGAAGAGCAGCCAGTGTCCTTAACCGTTGGGCCATCATCTCTCCAGCCCCTAAAACAAAGATCTAAGAGGGGGTCAAAGTGGTAGAGTGCTTGCCTACCATGGGCAAGGCCCTGGGTTTCATTCCTGGTTGTCGTTTCCCCAAAAAAGACTTAAGAGTTTCTGACAAGGCTTCTCCCTTCTTTTGGCCTCTACTAACACTAACTCTGTCTTTTCCGAGCAGGAGCCCCCCAAGCTTGCCAAAGGCACAGCCAAGCCCAGCAGCTCAAGCAAAGATGGTGGCGGCGAGAACACCGAGGAGGTAACACATGTCGACACAGCCCTGGTTGTGGTATAGGTGCCAGTTCCAGCTCCATGATGCCCAGTCGGGTGAGGGGACCCAGAGGCACAGTTACCCAGGCAGAGGGAAGGAGGCTTCCCCAGCCTAGAAGGAACCTAGACATCTAACCTAGATCACCATCAGGCAGAATTTCCTTTTAGCTAGTGTAGACCACATAAGCGTTTTCAAACTCCTCAGGTTCCTATGGAAGTTTTTTTTCTGTCTGTCGTCTTTGAGCATTGAGAATTCCTTTTTCAGTGACTAAGGGTATGGGTCAGTGGTAGAGTCCTTAGTGTGCTAGAGGCCTTGGGTTCAATTTCTAGCACACACACACACACACACACACACACACAGACTGTCTTATTCTTTGGGTTAAAAAACTGAAAGGTGTGGGGGCTGGAGAGTTGGCTCAGCAGTTAAGAGCAACGGCTGCTCTTGCAGAGGACCTGGGTTTGACTCCCAGCACCCACATGACAACTAACAAATATCTTTAACTCCAGTTCCAGGGGATCCAATGTCCTCTTCTGACCTCCTTGGGCATTGCATTTCATGAGTACACTTGCACACATGCAGGCAATACACTCATACACATAAAATTAAAAAACAAACAAAACGGCTGGGCATGGTGGCGTGGTGGCGCATGCCTTTAATCCCAGCACTCGGGAGGCAGGGGCAGGCGGGTCTCTGTGAGTTCAAAGCCAGCCTGGTCTACATAGTGAGTTCCAGGACAGCTGGGGCTATAGGGAGACCCTGTCTCAAACAAAAGACAAACAAACAAAACCAACTGAAAGGTGTGGGGGCATGGTGGTACGTGCCTGTGAACTCGCCATTTGGAAGGCTGAGTGAGGATCATGAGTTTGAGGCCAGCTTGGGTTACATTGCAAAACCCTGTCTCAAAAAAGAAAGAAATAAAAGACCTGGAGGTTTGGGGTCCTGGTGAAAAGAGGAAAAGTCCACAAGTGTTTCATAGGATGATGTGTGACTTCCATATGGATCTGGGTGGGGCAGGAGCTTGGGAGTGGCTGTCCCTGATTTGGACAGGGCTGGGCCCACTGCTCTTGGTCTCAGCGTGACCAAAGGATAGTGGTGAGCAGAGGTCAGCACAGCTTAGCAATCCAGGGCTATAAAGCAATAAATGGGCAAACAAGAGAACCAGAGGGCAGAGGGACTGAAGGAGGTTCAGGGATGCCCATGAACTTCTTGGGTGGGTTCAGATGCTCTGGTTGGTGGGCCATCCTCTGGTTGTATAGAGCGAGTAGCCATACTGTGTTGGGGCCACTGACAGACCCTTCCTCTGCTTCCTCCTTCCTGTTGTAAACTGTTCTGGAAACAGAGGTCTGAGTTATAGGCTGGTCTTGTGACTTTTTTCAGAAAGGAGATTGATTAACAAGTGTTTGAAGTTAACTATGGATTTAGATTTTCCAGCCTGTTTGTCCCTGTCACTTTAAAGAGATCCAATTGCATTTTACATTGATGACCATTCTTTTAGGCCTTGCAAATGTAATCAGAAGACATAAGCTTGTATTTTGTGGGGGGTTTTCTGCCCACTACGCAGACCTGGGAGTTAAAGTCCTCACAGAAGAATACTCCTACCTCTGCACTTATACTGGAATCTGTGCATGGCTCTAGAATGGCCCTTATCACTGTGCACTGTAACCATTAGTCCCCATCTGCATCTCCTGTGGGGTGAACTGAAGAGCAAAGCAGGTGGTGTTCAGTGTTGCTTCTTCTCGCTCCTGTGTACTCACTGAGGTCATAGTAAATGTTTCTGAGAACATACCCTCTGTGCTCAGTGTCCCTTTCAGGAATGATGATGTTGATGGGACCCACTGGGAAGATAGTTGAGAGCTAGTGACTTAATTAAAATAGCAAGACGTAGAGCTAGAATTTGAAGGAATTCTTACTGGGCTCTTCCCAACTTTTGCCTAACCCCTGTCCTCTAGTTGTTAGGCACCTGGCTGTCAATTCTCAGAGCAGCCTTGACCACCTGCTTTCATTCCGAGAATGTGGTCAGGGCCCCTGTGAGTTGCTCTATCGTCACCTAGTCCCTTGAACACCTGAAGTTAAGTAAGTCCTTGTGAGTGTGTGAGTGAATCAGTGAACTAACCAACCAACCAGCTTCGAATGAGAGCTTAGGACCAGACAATCATCTCATTTCATAAATGGGAAAATGAAGGCTTGAAGTATGCTGAATAAGACCAGCTGCTGTGATTTCTCCAGCGTCTTTAGGACAGGTCTCCCCAGGGCACAGGCCTTCTTTAAATCCCTCTGGAAAGGGAGGGTGTTAGGTTCACCTGGGTTCTGCTTTGTGAAAAGCTGCCCAGGGCTTATCTATGTAAGACAGCGGCAGGAATTTTACTCCATGATTTTCCAGAAAGGCACTCACGCATGACTGGCAGAGAGATGTTGAGAAAGTTGGGGGCCAAGTTGTGAAGGAGTAGTCTTAGGGCCTTTGACCACCTACTTTCCCTCCCAGAACATGAGCTCCTGTATTGTCACCTAGTCCCTTGGTTGTACTAACACAAATTAAATAATTCCTTGTGAACTCATTATCAGTGTGGGAGCTGCAGGAAGCTCTCAATTGCCAGTGAATGGCCAGGCCCAGTGGAGGCACCCCACATGTGAATGTATTAGTGACTGTATGAGTGAACCAATTTGTCCTAGCCGTTCCTTCCCTTTTTCTAGTGTAGAATTTTGAGCTTCTTTGGCTAAATTCAATGTGTCAGGTGTTTACCAGAGTCTTTTCAATTGATCTAATAATTATAGCAGCAATTATTACTGAGCAATTATTTTGTATTCATTTCCTAGGGCAGCCAAAACAAATTACCACAAACTAGGGGCTCTGAAACAGCAGAAATTCTCCTACAGTTATGGAGGCCAGATATCTGAAGTCAGGGTGTCACAAAGGGCATGGCCTGAGGTTCTTTTATTTAAAATTTTAAAAATTAAATTATTACATTTACTTATTATGTGTGTTTATGTATTTATGTGCATGTGTGCCAAGATGCACATATGGAGGTCAGAGGACAACTTGTGGGAGTTGGTTCTCCTTCCACCATGGAGCACCCAGAGACTGGGAACACAGGGTCATCAGGCTTTGTGGCAAGTACCTTTACTCAGTGAGCCATCTTGCAGGCCCCTTTTATTTAAATTCAAAAATTCTGGGGACTGGAGAGATGGCTTAGCAGTTAAGGGCACTGGCTGCTGGGTTCTATTCCCAGCACCCACATGGTGGCTAACAACTATCTGTAGCTCCAGTTCCAGAGGAATCTGATGCCCTTTTCTAGTCTCTGTTGGCATTGCATGCACATGGTGCATGTACATACATGCAGGCAACATACATGCAGGCAAAATAACCTGTACACATAAAATAAAAATAAATCAAAAGAATGAAAACAGATTAAAAATTTTAATTTTAATTTTTTCAGGTGTGTGGTATGCATGTGTGTGTATGTATTCACATATGTGTGGGCACATAAGCATGTGCATGCATGCAGAGGCCCAAGGTTGATGTTGCCTATCCTCCTCCGTTGTTCTCCATCTTTTTGATATCTTCCTCAATCGCTGTCCACTGGATCTGCTGAGGCAGAGTCTCTCCCTGAACTGAGTGCACTGTTTTGATCAGTCTGGGTAGCCAACTTGCTCCAGGGATTCTGTCTCTGCTTCATGCTCACTGGGATTACAGGCGGGCCACTCTACCCACCAGACCTTGATGAGGGTTCAGGGGATCCAAACTCTGGTCCTCATGCTTAGTTAGTAAGCACTTTACTCTTCGAGCCATCCCCCCAGTTCTGTCCCGAGGGTCTAGGAAAATGTTAGTTCCGTGTCTCTCTCCTGTCAACAGTCCTTGGCTTGGTGCATTACTTCAGGACCTTCCTTCGCCCTCACATTCTCCTGTTGTCTCTGTCTCTGTATCCAAATTACACACACACACACACACACACACACACCACCACCCCCCCCCCCCCCCCCCCCCCCCCCCCCCTTTTTTTTTTTTTTTTTTTTTTGTCTTTTTGAGACAGGATCTCTCAGTAGCCCCAGCTGGAACTCTCTATGTAGACCAGGTTGGCCTTGAACTCATGGAGATTTGCCTGCCTCTGCCTCCTGAGTGCTGGGACTAAAGGTGTGTGCCACCACACCTAGCCCAAATTTCCCTCTTATAAGGACACCAGTCATTAGGGACACCCTATCCAATCCAGTATAACCTCATGTTCACCTAATTTTATATTTCTGCAAAGACCCTGTTTCCAAATAAGGTCATATTCAAAGATTCTGGGTAGACATGAATTTGGAGGGGGAACTGTTTAACCCAGCATACTATATACTAGAACTACCTAAGTAATTTGCATATGCATTGACTCATTTGACTGCCATTCCCCTAAGAGCTTTTCATTGTTACCATCCCCATTTTACAGATGAGCTGGAGCCTTAGAAATACTGAACAGCATTTATTCAGTGAGCAAATGGCAGAGCTGTGACTCAAACCAGGTCTGTGGCTCTGAAGCCAATGATCTTCTAGGCTAAACGAAATTATATACTCCCTCTGAGCTTCTAGAAGAGGGTCCTAGGATGTTTTGGGAGGTCAGAGAGACTTACTCTTGTGTCTTGTCTCTGTTATGAAGGGTCTTCACTGGTCTGTCTTTGGAGAAAAAAATTCAGTGCCTTGGCTTTTCAATCTGTTGCATTGTACTGAGTTCTAGATGCAGAGATGGAGGGATGAAGACATGATTTAGTCCCCCACTTCATTCCCTGAGGCCACAGCAGCTGTCCCGAAACCGTTTTTGCTTTTATCAGTCCTCTCCGTTTTTTCTTTCTGGTCTGGGGTTTGAACCCAGGGCCTTACTCAAGAAAGTACATGTTCTACCACTTAGCTGAACCTCTAGCCAATTTCTCTACTTAAAAATGAATTTGAGGGGGTTGGAGAGATGGCTCAGCAGTTAAGAACACTGAATGTTCTTACAGAAGACCCGGGTTCGAATCCC